TGTACTAAATTTTTTAATGGTTTTAAAGAAAAACTTTAATATAACATACTATCTATTTGTCTTAATTTTAATTTATCTTAACAATATAATTTTGATTATATAATTAAATATTTACTTTTTAGTTTTGATTTTTGGCTTTATGGAAATGTTGTACAAATTTTTTTAATGATTTTATAGAAGAAGTTTGATATACCATACTATATATTTTTCTTAATTTTAGTTTTTCTTAAAAATATAATTTTAATTATATAGTTAAAAATATTTACTTGTTAGTTTTAATTTTTATCTTTATGGGTTTGTTGTACTAAATTTTTTAATGATTTTATAGAAGAACTTTGAAATGTTGTACATTTTTTACTGATAGTTATGGATGTTTTTGTTGAAAAAAAATATTGTCCAAACCTGTTGTACATAATGTTAAAAAAAAAAAACAAGTTTTATTTAGTTACAGGATGGAGGACAAGTTATAAATAGTATTATATTGGAGATCTACCATTTCCAAATAGCAGCTATTAGAGTCCCTGTCTAGGTCGTCTTTTATTTTGCGTTCTAGGACGACGCAGTTCTCCAGCCGACAGAAATCTTTTACTTCTCTTTCTTCCCTTCTTTTTCACTTCATCTAGATGTAAGATCTGCAACTTTTCAATATCAGGTGGGATATTCCACTGAGACCTATTCGGAACTAAATAAATTGTTTTGGTATAAGCCAAAATCCCTCCAATAATATTTTGAACACAATTCATGTATCTCTAAGGCATCATCACCTCTAGAAGCATCATTTTTGAAGTCAATGAAAGCAGTTAGTACGTGAACACATGGATACTTCTCAAAATTAAAAAACCCACATCTGCAACTTTTCAATAAGTTCACCAAATAAGGCTTTCCATCAGTACCGATGACGTTGTATTCACGCTCGAAACTGTTTAACTCCATTACAGTTAATTTCTCAGCAACACTCCATAAATCATGTAGGTAGTTCTCCACTAAAAGCACCAATTTATTATCAATTGATCCATGATCCAGAAACAGCCTCTTTGCGATGTTGATTAAACTAATCAGCAAACACTTTAATAACCGCATCGAACATGGGTATTAGAGAGTACTTTCTTGTGTTTTCAGAAACATTGTTTAAAGACTCTACAGTTTTGCTTGTGTCTATGTTGTATCTGTCACCTGGAAAATAACACCGTGCCCATTTCTCTTTTACAGCACTCTCCTCCACATATTTGGCTGCGGAAGGATATCTTGTCTTAAAAGACATATACTCACCGTTGAACTCAGCCATCGTATACTGTCTACTACATTCCATGAATCTTCATGCGACTACATCTTTGTTGACAATGCTAGTATGTCCTTTCCCATTTTGGCCCAAATGCCATACACAATACCCATGATGTGCCTATGGATAAACATTAGCTATGGAGTTGATGAGGCTTGTATTTCTGTCACTCATAAATACCAATTCAGAAGAGTCTGCAACAACGGTCTTCAGCATATCAAAAAACCAGGTCCATCTAGAACACCAAACGCGATGGGAAAATGATGGCGACTAGGATCTTGTGTTGTTGCAAAAACAAGAACACCACCATATCCGTTTTTGATGAAAGTTGCATCCACGATTATCACTTTCCTCATGACTTGAAACCCTTCTATGCTAGCTCCCAAAGCTATGAATAGGTATTTGAATTTTCCTTTCTCATCAAATTTACATTTGTTATTGTACCAGAATTTACTTGCTGTAACATGTACAAATAACAATACAGCATCTTGTAGCTTTCTTCCGGACTACCACGCAAATCACTAACAACAAGTTTTTTCCCTCTCAATGCTGTAGAGTATGATTTAACACCAAAAATCTTCTTAACACGCTCCATGATTTTTGCAGTACTTGTAGTTACCATCTGACCTGAATAATCATAATGCAAAAGTGATTGGATTGCCTTTTCTCTTAGAGTTACTTGTACTCTGACTTGCTCAAGAGCATGAATGCATCTTTGTGTACGTTCTAACTGAGAAAATATATGTCCATGGGATTCTTGCAGCTCGTTAACCCCATTTACACCTTTCTTGAGAACATTTGACCACGTAACGAGTCTTATCCGACCACTTTATACCATAACCAAAAGACTTCAGAAATGCTCCTCTATCCAAAAACTCTTGCACTACCTGTTTATTTGGAAATTCCTGAAACTGACTCACACCCAAACCATCTTCCCATGACTCTAAATGCTGACTGCATTCTAACAGAGGTGGAGGCTCATGCATAACTGATCTATCAGGGCCATCATCAGTACCCACATCCACACATTCAGCATCAGTACCCTCATCCATAACGTTTGCTTGTTTGTTGGGTACGTACAGAGTAATGGCATAGCTCCAATTTCATCTTCAACAATATTTTCCTCTCTCACCACTTGCTCAGGCTATTCTAAAATATTCATAGCCTCCACATACAAAATACATCTTTGATTGTCTTTATCAACAGATGTTAAAAAAACACATAGATTCTCATCATCAGAAATAGTAAACCGTTCCTCACCTCCTCCAACCAGCAGTGGAATGTAACTCATTTCCAATTTTATCTTACTTTCATCTAAAGCAAGCTTTTTTATATCCTATCTTTTATCATTGACAGAGTTATCTCTCTCATAGGTGTCTTCAACAGTAAACTATACATTTGACATTGGCATTTAAAATGAATGCTGACAGTTTTGGTCATTGTATCTGTCAAAACAATACAAAACACTTCATCAGTAATACTAGTAATCCAGAGTTATACCTTCATTATACATAGTAATACTAGTTGCACCAAGTTTTACTCAATAAATCTCGACTTCAAGTAATACCAGTTTTACTAGTTATACTATATTTCTCAGTAATGATAGTTATACCAAATTCTCCTTTTGTAAGAGTCGGATGTTCTCACCAATTACTTAACATGCACTATGATTCGGGCCATCATCTAGTTATGTAACTAAAATGAAGTCCTAGTCAATCCAGAATTAAAGCTTAAACCCTCAATATGCATACTAAAATGAGCTCAACAAATGCCCAATTCAATATAAAAAATTTGGGGAACTTGCCAGTAAGGACAGCTCAACAGAGGAAAAAACAGCAATGGTGGAAGAAACAGACGGCGATGGAGGCAGTGTGGGGTCAATTTCCGGAGCTCAATCTCCCCGACATTGGTGGTGATAGCGGATCAGAGAGAGAACCCAAGCAAGACGAGGAGAAAAGGAGCTCTAGTAGAGGAGAGAGAGAAAGAAAGAATGCCCAAATTGGTCGGATCCAATTTTAAAAACTGGGTTCAGAAAAACACTTTTTCTATTTTTTAATTAATTTTTATAAAAAAAATGTTTAAGAAATGGCAATTTAGTCTTTTTACATACTGAGAGAGATAAGAGATGAATGAAAGAGATAGGAAATTAAAAAGTTTTAATGAGTGGTATACCAGATGATGGCTCGGTCAAGAGTCTCACTCTTACAACAATTCACCGATTACAAAATTGAAGATTGAGTCATTGACTATATATTTTATTAATATGAGTGGTTGCTACAGTATACACTTTTTCTAATGAACGTACTAGGAATAAAGGTTGATCCTGATCTTACATGTAACATTGAAAATATGTAACATAAGTATTATGATTTTTTTTCTCTATTTAATTTGGATTTACTTTCTTTTATTATTTGTAATCAGTTTTTCGTATAGAATATTAGTATGTAATTTTGATTACAAATTAGATTTATGCAGTTAGTAGTTTGTTCATTTGACAATTTATATCAACCAGATTACAAATACTTTTTTGGATCATGTGAATCCTAAATCAGAAAGATCCATATAATACCCAATTCAGTATATTTTCATAAATTCTGACAAAATTTATAAGAGTTTTCTATGACTTTAGCTTCTTTTTTTGCTGATGCTTAAGATTTTTATATATTGGATTTTGTGGCGATTTACTTCAAAATGTAACTTTTATTTTGTCGTCCAGATTACTTTTTCTAAATGACAAAATCAGAAAAACGTAACTTTTATTTTGTCTTTGGTTATCATCTTTTAAATTAAATATATATTATTTTTTTAAAAAAAAAAGAATTAAAATCGAACCAATGACAAAATAAAAGTTATCATCTTTCTCGAGTGAGGTCTTTGGTTACAACCAGCATCTTTCTACGAGTGTTGTCTTTTGATAATCAAGCTAGATTTTAGATTCCCATATTTACTCGTAGAAACACATCACTCGAAATATGGACTCGGTGACATCGTTTTTTTGTTTTGTTGTAGTCATGGGTTAGACTCAGATAATTACTTATTTGTGAAACTGACAATTTTCTTTATTAAAATCCCATGCCTCTCGAATATTGCAAGGAAATTGCCCTTACCATTGGGTTTGTTTGGCATTTTTAGGGATTAGATTAAGATTTAAATAAAGAAAATTGCCAATTTCACAAATAAGTAATTATCTGAGTCTGATCCATGATTACAACAAAACAAAAGAACGATGTCACCGAGTCCAGGGGCGGAGGTAGTGAATTAAGAGGCGGTCATGTGCCCTTACTCTTTTTTATTTTTTTTTTAATTATGTAGGTAAATTTAATTAAATATTTTAATTTAGTGGTAAAAATAAAATTTTGTCTACAACTAATTTTTTTTTCTTGTTTATATATTTATACCCCCAACTAAATTTGTGTCTAGATCCGCCACTAACCGAGTCCACATTTCGAGTGATGTGTTTCTACGAGTAAATATGGGAATCTAAAATCCTAATCTAATCCCTGAAAATACCAAACAATCCTAATCTAATCCCTGAAAATGCCAAACAAACCCAATGGTAAAGGCAATTTCCTTGCATTATTCGAGAGGCATGGGCCGAGTTTAGTGCTAAAACAGATTAGTATTATAAGTACGAGCATACAAAAAAAAAGAACACTTGCAAATTCATTTACTCAATTTCCATTTTATCATGCAGTAACCAAAGAGAGCCATTCACAACAACTAAACCGAACCGTTTCCATTTTATTACGCAGTAACCAAAGAGAGCAAATTCACAACAACTAAACCGAACCGGTTTATTTATATATATAAACGAAAAAGGAAACAACAACAGCAACAGTAAGTCTTGGGGTAAACCAAAAAGCAGTTCAACAACTACGAATCCCAAATTACCAAAAAAAAATTGGAAATTGCAACTAAGCTTTTACCATATGCAACAAGACCGTAACAAAGTTCTGATAATCATCGGTTCTCAGTATTTTGTCCGACCATCTCCTTCCGTTATGACATCATTGAAAGTACCACCACTTGGGATCATCGGTAACACATGTTCTTGGTGTGGACAAATCACATCCAACAAGTACGGTCCTGGCGTATCCAACATTGTCTGAATAGCCTCTCTGAGGTGTTCTTTCTTCGTCACTCTCGCAGCAGGAACTCCGCAAGCTTCTGCAAACTTCAGCATGTTGGGGAATATCTCGTTCTCCTTAGCCGGGTCCCCGAGATACGTGTGAGCTCTGTTAGCTTTGTAGAACCGATCTTCCCATTGCATAACCATGCCAAGATGCTGGTTGTTTAGCAAAAGCACCTTCACTGGAAGATTCTCTACACGGGCTGTGGCCAGCTCTTGCACGTTCATTATGAAGCTTCCATCTCCATCAATGTCAACGACGATTGCATCAGGGTTCGCAACGGAGGCTCCAATCGCAGCAGGAAGTCCAAAACCCATAGCTCCGAGTCCTCCTGATGATAGCCACTGTCTTGGTTTCCTGTACTTGTAAAACTGCGCAGCCCACATTTGATGTTGACCAACACCAGTGCTGATAATCGCCTTTCCATCTGTTAGCTCGTCGAGGACTTGAATCGCGTACTGTGGAGGAATAGCTTCACCGAACGTCTTGAAGCTCAACGGGAACTTCTGTTTCTGTTCGTTTAACTCACTCCTCCAAACTCCGAAATCAAGCTTGAGCTCCTCTGCTCTGTTCTCAAGAACCTTGTTCATCCCTTGCAAAGCGAGTTTAACATCTCCACACACAGACACATGAGGCGTCTTGTTCTTCCCAATCTCAGCCGAGTCAATATCTATGTGAACAATCTTAGCCCTGCTAGCAAAAGCCTCGAGCTTTCCAGTGACACGATCATCAAACCTAACACCAAAAGCAAGCAACAGATCACTATGTTCAACAGAGTAATTAGCGTACACAGTCCCGTGCATTCCAAGCATGTGCAACGACAACTCATCGTTACATGGATAAGAACCAAGACCCATCAAAGTACTCGCTACAGGGATTCCAGTAAGCTCGACGAATTTACCCAATTCCTCACTCGAATTCAAACACCCACCACCAACATACAAAACCGGTCTCTTAGATTCCGAAATCAACCTAACAATCTGCTCAAGGTGAGAACTTTCCGGCGGTTTAGGCATCCTAGACATGTAACCAGGCAAACGCATAGACTGTTCCCAATTAGGAATCGCGAGCTGTTGCTGGATATCTTTAGGAACATCAACTAAAACGGGTCCGGGTCGACCCGAAGTAGCTAAAAAGAAAGCTTCCTCAATGATCCTAGGTATATCCTCAACATCCATCACAAGGTAATTATGCTTCGTAATCGACCTCGTTACCTCAACAATCGGCGTCTCCTGAAACGCGTCGGTGCCAATCATACGGCGAGGGACTTGTCCCGTGATCGCGACGAGAGGGACACTGTCGAGCAACGCGTCGGCTAATCCGCTCACCAGATTGGTTGCTCCGGGACCGGAAGTGGCTATGCAGATTCCCGGTTTACCGGAGGATCGAGCGTAGCCCTCGGCGGCGAAGATTCCTCCTTGCTCGTGACGAGGAAGGACGTTGCGGATTGTGGAGGATCGAGTTAAGGCTTGGTGGATCTCCATTGATGCGCCTCCTGGGTATGCGAAGACGACATCGACGCCTTGACGCTCGAGGGCTTCCACGAGGATATCGGCGCCCTTGCGAGGCTCGTCGGGAGCGTATCGGGAGGCGAATTTAGGGTTAGTGATGGGTTTCGCCGGAGAAGGAGCTGCGGAGGAGACATTGACGGGTGGGTTGAGAACGGCGGAGCAGGAGAGAGGACGGCGGCGACGGGAGGAGGGTTTGTGGGGATTTAGGGAAAATGGAAGGGAGAATCTGGAAATGGGTAATGGAGACTTGGAAGATGAGGGATGACAAGGTTTTGTGGAGAAGGAGATCGAAGAAGAAGATGTTGTTGCCGCCGCCATTGTAGATTTGCTTTGAAGGAGAAAGAAGGAAACAAAACCACAGAAAAGACTTGTGAACCTGAGAATTCGTTTTTTAAGAAATATAAAAACTCGTCGTGAGGGTTTTATTCGGTGATTACGAAAACGCCCTTGGGATTTGGTTTTTTTTTTTTTTGTCTTTATTTATAGATGAGGAGCTCACGTGAGATTCACGAATCTAATCTCGTCTCTCTCGGCTTGTGAATTGTGATTGAGCCTAAAATATCAACATCAAAGTCTAAATGTAGGATTTGTGGATGAGGTATTTTATCAGTAGTTTTCTTATTATTATTATTTTTTTATAAACACAAGTTGGATTTCTTTGATTGGGAGAGCTGCAAGTTGGGTTTGAGGAATATTAATAGCACACTAAACATAGTTTTGAATGTCTTGAGTTTCATTTCGGATTTAGTTCTTAAAAACATTGCTTCTTGAAGACAATATACTTTGCAGTAGAAAATCAAAAATAATCAAAACTTATCAAGTCTTTAAGAGTAATAACAACATGAGAGTCAAAATCATATAAGGGGGGAAAAAACTGGCCGCCAAAACATAGCAAGACATGGAAGAAATTCCGTAACAGCTTTTGCAGTCATTTTACTTCTTCTTCTCCTAACTCCTTGGCGCATTGCCTGTCGCAAGGTAAGCAAACACGGTGAAATAATTTATAAACATTTAGTAAAATTTCTTGCATTAAAAGAAATGATTCAGAAGCAAACGAAACTATATGGGACAAATATAGGGCTAAGAAACAAAGGAGACAGAAGCATGGCGATTGCAGAAACAATGGAGACAAGTAAATCTCTAATCTTTTGAGGCAAGAAGCCAAAAACCAGCTAAAATGCATCCTTAAATTCCCAAGTCTACTATGAACACCAACTTCTACCTAATCCACAAGTATGATTACAAATCCTTAAGCAATAAGCACGAACCAAGAATGGGGTCTAGTCAATGCATTTAGCAATGGACAGAACCATTGATTCAATGTAGATCTTTCAAGAAACCTAACCACCTATGCAGATATAATTCAAGACCCATTATTACCACATTGACTATTTCTTACTAGTTACTACTATGTCGCAAATTTCAAAAAAACAAAAAAACACCAATGAGTAAGAAGATAGGAGGAAACCTCGTAAAGTAGTTCCTAAGCAGATCCAACGATGATGTTGTTGATTGGGATGAATACAAGCTTCACGAAGAACCCAACGAATCCCATCACCACAAATCCAATCGCCGTACGCACAGCAACTTTGGTGAATTCTGAAAAGAAATAAACTCAAATCAAATTACAAAATTGAGGAATCAAAATCTCCAGATCCAATATAAACATTTAAGAATCTAACAAATTCGCGAGTGTACCCTTGCGATCGGGTTTGTGACAGCGTTGGACGAGACGGACACTGCTCTTAGCGAAATCTCTGAGTGGATCGATTGCGGAATCAATGGCTTCCATAGCTTCTCAGATCGGAATTGTAAAATTAGGGTTTCAGGAGAATCGTCGTTTTAGGGGTAAAGATGAAAAGGAGAGGTTTTATTTGACATTCTGACTTTATACTACTTGTTTTGTTCCGTTGACTTCACCTCCACCGTAATTCCCATCCAGTTCAGATTTAGTTCGGTCTGAATGTCTGAACACAAACAAAAGTCCGGTTTGGTTTTTGTTTGACTTGTACGAATTCTCTTATTTTTCACATCTATAATCGTTTTTTAATTACGTCATATATTACTTCATAATTCATATTCTATCAATTTTTTTGGTTAAATGCTATATGTATCATTTACTGAAATTATAAATTACGACTTAAAAACATTTTTGACAAACAAATCTAATAATCCAAAAAAAATTAACGGTTGACAAAAAAAAATCCAACAATTAACGATCTCATCTAAGTCCTAATCATTAACTTCACATTTTCCAAACTGCCAGGGTTATAAAAATTTGAGAACAAATACGAGCTCTAAATTGATAAAATGTGAACCTTGTTACGACACCTATCTTTACACATTTTCAGACAAGATTTCAGTTTATATGATTAGAGTAGTAAAACCTTAAATAAATAATTTTTCATCAAATTAAATAAATAATTTTTTTTTCGTTTTTGTGATGAACTCGGGTTAAATTTGAGGTTCCAGTAGTGAATCCGTTAATGGGGTTCATCCAGAATTTTATATTATTTTTTTTTTTAAAATTTTTTTATAATTAAAATAAAAATCACTTATTAAACAAAGAATACAACATATTGCAAACTATAGAAAAATACAATTTATTAAGAAAAAAATACAAACACACAATTTTTAAAATATAGAAATACTTAAACATTTGTTACACACCGGCAAAAGTCGACGCTTACCTCGGCAATAATCACGGAAGCCCGACACTCGGTTGTCCACTACACCGGCAAAAGTCAACGGTTTCGACGGATTTGACGGAGGCAAAGAGAATCGCCGTAGGAGAGGAAGAGAGAAAGTAAAAAAAAAACTCGCGAAGAAGAAATGAATTTTTGGGCAAAAAATTTTTCCCTCCCCAAAAATGACACGAAAATTCCTCCTCTCACGCTTCGCCACGTATCTGGGATGCGGGTTCATCAACCTCTTCCGGATGGACCGATCCGTCGATTTTGGGCCTTTTTCTTTTTTTTTAAAGTTCATTTCGCCTATGAACTCGAGCTAAATCCGTCCAACGGACCACTACTAGACCTGGTCTTAGTACTCGAGAATCTTCGGATTCTATAACACTTTTGTTTCTGATGATTTTCGAAGGAAACACTCAGACACATGTTTCATCTGCACATTCATGTACGGCGTCTTTAACCGTCCGTTATTCACTAGGTAACGGAAGAAGATCATTCACTACTATTTCGAAAGACAAAAAGGTTGGTTAGGTTTTTTCTTCTTCATTAGAAAAGGCGGTATTAAAATATGTAAAAGCAAAATTAATTCTGGTATTGTGGAATAACACTTAAGTAGATCAATTTGTGATTTCTCTTTTACCAAAACAAATTAACAATAAGATAATCGCTAAAACAGTAAAACTTCTATCCTATCTAAATTTTGCTGAGACTTTGATTAATTGTACATAAAATGCGGTGAAGTTTCACATGTCGACAAAAAAATGGATAAGTAGTAGATGTAAAAATGGGAAAAATATACAAACTTACAAGTCAAATATTTGGAAGCATTTTATACTATGTGATTTATACTTATACGTAAGAGTCAGACGCATGTTATATTGTCGTAATGACATGTTGTGAAATGAGCTGTTGTCTTGGTGGCAATTCTTTTTGGCATTGTCTTTCCGCATTTACCACAATCGGAGCAAAATATGAGACTTAGAGAGATGACGGCACGTTTTGCTAAACCTAAATTATTCAAGCCAACCAACAGTCGCCATCCATTTTCTACAAGTCTCTAGTGATCTAGTCGTAAAACTGTCTATATTTGATCACTAATCACAAGCGACAAAAGTCCATTTATTTCGTTACTTATGTTAATCTGATATTGAAAATGACAAAACCACTATTAAATATTTATAATAAGCCGTTAGGTCGGAGTAAGACTGGTAGTGGTATGGTCATGTAAATATATCAGGATAATAACATTTGTCAACATTACGGCTTTCAAACAAGTTACTACTGCAGGAAACAAACACGGATTTCTCGTGATAAACGGATTAGAACGAAGGAAAAACAAAAGAGTAGTAACCAACTCTGAACAAATAAATAAAAAATGGTCTAGGGAAAAAATTAACGTGACCAACATTAGTGACAAATAATTTTGAATAATAACTTATACTAATTAAGGACTTGAATGACATCATCAGTGATTACTATAATGAAAAGTTTGGAATATGTGACCCAAAGATTCCTATTCAAAGATAGATAGAGTTGTTAGAGTTAACTTTGTGTAGATATCTAAAGATTCCTATTCAAAGATAGATAGAGTTGTTAGAGTTAACTTTGTATAGATATCTATATAAGATAAAACAAAATGGAATGGGGAAATTGTAGCTTTTGCAATGCATTGCTTGATGCGTATAAAACGAGCTGGAAACAGCTTTCACCACACTAAAAAACAAAGTTAATCGCAAACAGCTCAAAAACCTAGAGGGATTAGACTCATAAACATTTTAATTAATTCAAATAAATTATGATGATGCAATGCATAGAGACCCATTTGTTGAAGAAGATAAAGTACGTAACGTACGTGGCTGCTCTATACCTATATAACATAGCCAAAGAGAGTCGTGTTCTGTTGTGGTGAAGTGAAGTGAGATAGAAGCAAAGTGAGAGAGAGAGAGAGAGAAGAGATGAAGATGAGAGGATCTGATCAAAAGATTCTTCTACTGATGTTTATGGTGGTTGTAGCCACGGCTCGAGGTGATGAGTATAGTGGGTTCACGACATGGAACGATAATTGGTACTCAACATGGGGACATCCAGCTTTGGTTTTTAATGAAACCTCTGAGCTCCACCTCACCCTTGATCATAACTCTGGTTTCTCTCTCCTCTCTCTCTTTTTCTGTCTATATGTGTTTGTGTTTGTATCTACTGTCTAGATTATGCTTATCATTGGTCTTAACAGGGTCCGGGTTTGAATCCTACAAGATATACGGATCAGGATCTTTCAACATAAGAATCAAGGCACCACAAACCAAGTCTACGGAAGTCATTACTTCCTTCTACGTAAGTATGAATGACATTAACTTATGTTTTGTCTGAATTAAAAGATGATGATGTTACGTACCTGGAGGGCTTCTTTAAACATGTTTTAAATCTTGAAATGCTATATGTGCAGTTAATCTCCAAATCAAGCCGTCATGACGAGCTCTGTTTCCAGATTTTGGGAAAGGGGCCACAGTATTTGCTGAATACAAACATGTTTATGTTCGGTGAAGGAGGCAAAGATCAAAGGTTTCGTCTTTGGTTCGATCCAACCAAAGATTTCCATTCCTATAGGTTTCTTTGGAACCCAAACCAACTTGTGTGAGTATTCATATTACACCTTTATCAGGTCATGACGTAATCCTTCGAATATCATCAGTAACAGAAATAAACAAAAAAATGTATGTATTTCTACAATTTCAGGTTCTACGTAGACGATACACCGATCCGGGTGTACAAGAAGAATCCATACTACCCATCAGTGCAGACAATGTTCATAAGTGGGAGTGTGAAAAACGGATCAATAGTTGACCCCAAGGAGATGCCTTACACTGCCAAGTTCCAGGCATCAAAGATTGACGGGTGTGACACTGAGTTTATGGGCATAGAGAAATGCTTTGGTCCTAAATTCTGGTGGAATCGCAAAGAGAACTGGCAGCTAAGCGCTAGAGAGAGGAAACTGTATCTGAATGCAAGGAAGGTGTACCTGGATTACGACTATTGCTTTGACAGAAAGCGATATCCAAAGATGCCTCAAGAATGCAGAAGTTACGGTTAGAGAAAGATCAATACCTGTCAAAAGGTGAGCCAAGAAAACGAAAGAAAAAAAAATGAAAAAAGAAATGTTACTTTAACATGCTTTGTAATAAGCTGTTCCTATCAAATATTAATCATCGATTAAAAATAACAACTTTCTTTTCATCGCTGCTAGTTACATTACTATGTCAAGAATTGGGTTTGCTTGAGGTTTACAAGCACTTTAGCCTCTGAAATGACTGCAAATTCTCAGATATGTTCATCCCAAGAAATGAAGGAGAAGTAAATAACATAAGAGCAAAATTGAAAAAAGGAAGCATAAATTAGAAACTGCACATTAGATATATATAATTAGGCAAAATCACAGCTTTTGCTACAATAACATTTATATAAGTTAACAAACAGAAATAAGAGCTCTCTTTACTTCTACTTTTTTTTTAAAATGTAAAGCCTTTTTGAAATTGAATTCAAGGCATAATCGATCAGATCTCAGACACATCCAAAATTCAAGGCAGAGTCGACTAATATCTGTTGTCTTCAACAGCTGGTGAATACTCTCAGCTTAACTGCAAAACATGATACAAAGACATTGAAATGTAGGTTAAGAAATGATTCAAGCCCCAAACAAGTGATGATAATTCATCGATCCATTCAAATTTTGGCAGAAGAGCAAGAGAATCTATACTACCACATTCCAAAGGAAGCTCTTTGATTGATTCAGGAATGTTTAAGCTCAGGAAATTGATTCCAAATCCTAAAACCCTAAATGATCATATACATTGCACAAAAATGGGGAGAAATTGAAGGAAACTTACACTTGGCCGTCGAGATTCCCCTGACCGCTGCTTCCTCCACTGCCGTAAGAGACATCATCGCCGGTCGCCGACGTCTGCCAAACGCTCTGCCACGCCTGAGACGGAGGCTGCACATAGACACCACTCGGATCCATGGCAGGCCTCCCAATCATCATCCCTCCAGGACCTGTAGGCTGACCCATCGGCGGACAATAGTAAGGCACGCCGCTCGCGGCGGGAGGAGTCGTCACCATCCCGCCGATCGCCGCCTCTTCCTTGATCTCATCCCTAGGAACGATATCGACGAGGAAATCGAAGATATCGGTCCTCGTAATCGCGGCGGCGATGTCGTTTTTCTGAAGCGTGCGGCGTTTGTTCTCCTCGGCGTGGAGCCAGGATCGGATCGTGAGCTCGAGGATGAAGAGCTCGCAGGCTTTGGCGAAGAGGATCGGCGCTTCGGCGGAGATCATGCGCACGTCTTCGTCGGCTTTCATGATCTTTTTGATCCGAGCGAGAGGGAGCTGGTGGTTTTTGAAATCGTTCACTTGCTCGATCTCTTTTCGTTGGTAGGACCAGAACATTTGGAGCTGTTGCTGTTGTTGCTGGAGGAGGTGGTGGTATGAGGCGGCTCCGGCGGCGGATACGGAGGTGGTTGGAGGAGGAGGAGGAGGAGGGATTCCGGCGGCGGAGAGAGGTGGTTGGTGGTTGTTGTTGTTGTGGTCCATTTGGGTGGTGTGTTGGGAATTGGTCGGCGTGGATTTGGTGTTTGTGATTGGATCAAAGTTTTTTTTTTTTTTGCCAAGGGGATTGGTGCATAAGTGGATAAGGTGGATAGCGATGTAGCTGATTTGCTCTTTCTTTTTTTTTTTTTGTTCCCCTCTTATTTATGTAAAAACAAAAGTGTCGGAAATAATAACCTTTTCTTTTTACTAGTCTCAAAATTGATTTGTTCCTCTATATATGAAAAATAAATAATCAAGTTGAATGTACCATTCTTTTATTGGGAATGTAATATGAATGATTTTCAATTTATAGTACATTTTCAGAACATAATTTTCCCTCAAATTATACATTGTAAAAAATCAGTCATATTACATTCCAAAAAAATGATACATTCATATTACATTAGTATTTACGAAAACGTTAATATACATTATTTTTTTTTTGTTCGACGTGGTCGGATACCATATATATTCTCTTCATATATATACTTTTTTTTCGGGTACCTTGAATAACTAACTAAAACAATTGATGATCATACAATTGATGATCATTACTTCCAAATGAGAGAAGTTATTGATAACTAATAACCTTTTACAAGGAAAAGAATAACAATAATCTCTCAGAATAACGGAGATTTATGATAAAAATAGAACGATACAAATCTAATTAATTGCTTTTCTTTGGATGCAACAACTTTTTGGTGCATAAGTGGATAAGGTGGATAGCGATGTAGCTGATTTTCGCTTTTTTATTTTTTATTTTTGTTAAGAATTTGTGCTAGATAACCTTGTTACTATTCATATTTTGCTAAATGGGAAAGTCCACTGTTACTTTTTTTAAAATACACTAATGCCCCTACATTATCTTTTCCCCTAGACTCCTATATACGATCTCCTCATTCCAATAAACCACCCCATTGACAATGGTCGTCTTATCCAGAAACATCTCTTTCTACTTTTTTTATTTCAAGGTTTGAATCAGCCGATTTTATAATACGCCTCCTCATCTACGAATCTTCCATTTCCTATCTTCTCGTTGAATATTGTGCGGGGTTTATATCATCAGAAGTTTTTAAGATCTTTCCTGATTTATTTCTTTTTGAATCATTTGCAGAGATACGATGAAACCGGATCAAATCTTGCTCTAGATCTGTCAAGATTCATCACAAATCATGACAATGTATCCAGAGGACGACTCGATACAAATCTGTGAAGTGTGGAACGAGAATCTTGAATTGAATCAGAGATGGCACTGATTCGAGAAGTTGTCGACGATTTCCCTTTCGTTGCCATGGATACTGATTCTAGGCAGATGTTTTAGTGCAATATATAAGTTGTTAACATGTTAAATTTATTTGTATCGCGTTAAACAAATTAGTATCATACTTTTAGAGTAATCTAGATAGCTGTCAATGTATTTGCTCTAAAACGTAGATAGCTGCCAATGTCTTAGCTCTAACTAAGTTTCAATGTTTTGAAAATAAATAACATGTTAGCGAATACAAATATTATGTTAGAGATGATAAATAAATTGTTAGCGGATAAAAATAGTATATTAGAAACATTAAATAAATTATTAACGAATACAAATTTAGTGTTAGCAAGATAACATATCCTTTATTGATGTAAACTTAGTATTAGCAAGATAACATAACATTTATCATGTTAATAAAATATGTAATATGATAATAAGTTATGTAGTTGTATAACTTATATGTTAGCGAACGAAAAATGATGAAAGAGAAACTTCATACGGGGAAGAAAGACTCCTAACAAAAGAAGGAGAGGTTAAAAAGTAATAATACTTTCAAAGTGTCAGACAACTGTCTTATCAATTTACTGTTTTTTCCATTTACTTAATTTTGACCAGAATGTAGAATTTCTAGCAAATTGTCTCTTTTTTATTTTCCTTTATTTTATTTTTTATTTTTTCCTCTTTTTTATTTGAAAACAAGTTTGTCGGAAATAATAACCTTATATTTTGTTTTCTAGTCTCAAAATTGATTTGTTCCTTTATATATGAAAAATAAATATTCAAATTGAATGTAACATTCTTTTTTTTTTGGGGAATGTAATATGAATGATTTTCAACGAGTAGTACTTTTTAGATTATAATTTTCCCCTCAAATTATACATTGAAAAAAAAAATCATTCATATTACATTCCAAAAAAATGAATCATTCATATACATTATCGATTTATTTCACTTTTTTTCTCATACATAACTTTTTTTCGGGGTACCTTGAATAACTAACTAAAACAATTGGTGATCATTATTTTCAAATGAGAGAAATTATTGATAACTAATAACCTTTTACAAGGAAGAAAATAATAATAATCTCTCAGAATAACGGAGATTTATGATAAAAATAGAACGATACAAATCTAATCAATTGCTTTTCTTTTGATGCAACAACTTTCTGAACCAGTGAGCCGATTTCTTGAGATATCTCTTGCATCCATCCTTGAAATCCACGTAAACCAACCCGAACCGGACCGTGTAACCATTTGCCCATTCATAGTTATCTAGCAACGACCACGCGAAAAATCCTTTCACATTTGCTCCAACCGAGATAGCCTCTCGAACCATCTCGAGATGTCTAGCGTAAAACTCGATTCTCTCGCCGTCTTTAAGTAAGATTTGACCGGTTCTACTAGCTTCATCTCTACCATTTTCGGTTATGTACATGACCGGATCCTTGAACTTGTATTTTGCATAGAGCACAAGATCACGAATCCCTTTTGGATATATCAAAAGCCAATCCGATGCAGCCTTTGGACCGATGGGGACTCCTTCTCTTTCACCTGTGACGCTAGCACAAGGATCAGAGAACAACGTAACGTTTTCGGTGGAGCAAGGGACGTTTTTGGCGTAAGAAGATGAGTAATAGTTGATGCCAATGAAATCATATGAGCCTTGAAGCATCTTTGATTGTTGTGCGGTGAATTTTGGCAACCGACCGTCTTTTACGTTGTTGACCATGTCGACCGGGTACTTACCGGTCACAAGCGGCTCCATGAAGTAGTCGAATGTGAAGGCCATGGCTCGTGCCGCGGCTAACCTATCCTCGGCTGATTCTGTATAGGGCAAGTTCCAACCAGCGTTCAAAGCAATTCCGACTTGGCCGTTTTGAGACGCCTGTTGAACAACATTCAAGAACAGATTCATCACAATGGGAACCAAAATAAACAAATTAACACTTCTTGATTCGTAATACAGACATATTTCGAGTTAATATGGTTATAAACACACTAGATTTTTGGTAACTTGACGCTCAAGAAACAGAGCAGATTTTTTCTCTTTCATTTTTCTAACCTTGTATTTTTCTCTGTAGAGTTTGACGGCTGCTCCATGAGCGAGGATGAGGTTGTGACCAACGATGTAAGGCTCGGTGGATCCATCGCCGGCGGTGCAGTTAGGGTTTGTGAATTTGGAGCATCTTCCTGGAGCCATTACACCTTGAACATATCCTTGTTGCACCACCGTCAACGGCTCGTTCAGTGTCATCCAATGCTTCACTCTATCACCAAAACTCTCAAAGCAAATATCCGCATAATCGCGGAAATCGTTCACAATCTCTGCGCTACGAAACCCACCGTAAGCATCTTCAAGTCCTTGTGGTGTATCCCAATGGAAAATTGTGACAAAAGGCTTGATTCCTTTTGACAAAAGCTCATTGATCAAGTTGTTGTAATACTTAACACCAGCACGGTTGATTCCACCTTTTAGATTCCCACGAGGCAAGATTCTTGACCAAGAGATTGAGAATCTGTAGGCATTGAAGCCGATTTGATGCAACAAAGCCACATCATCCTTGTAAAGACGGTAAGAGTCATCTGCAATCGACCCATTGCTACCATCTTGTATCTTCTCTGGATATTTTTCCGAGAATGTATCCCAGATACTTGGTCCTCTACCATCTTCATGAGCAGCTCCTTCGACTTGGTAAGCAGAGGTTGCGGCCCCAAAAATGAAATCTTCTGGGAAATCACTTCTTCTTAGTTTAGGTGTTGAAGACTTGGCAACCACTTCATTGAAGGCTAAGGCAATCAGCACTAGTAAAGAAATATATTTTCCTCTCATTCTTAGTTATCTTTTAAGTCTTGTTTTCTATCAAAAAGTTAATAAGTGGAGATTTATATAGGAAAGAGAATTGTCTAAACGTGGATTCGGTATGTGAATCTCCTAATTTTGAGGATGATTATCTGATAGAGAGAGACATAAATTTCCTAATTCCTAGTCATTTTTTAAATAGTAAAATTCAACAGACCTTATCTAATTGATAACAGAGAGAGAAAAATTCAACTAACCTTATCTAGTTATCTTTTAAAATAGTAGAAAAAAAATAGCAGAAAAAAATAGCAAAATTTACATGAATTTATAGTGGCCAGCTGACTGTCTCAGCAATATATCGACTATGACGGTAGCGGACAACAAAGCAAAAAGAAAAGAATCTGTAAAACTGAAAGTATCACAAGAGAGAAAATGTGTCGCATGAGAGAGGAGAGTATCGGAAACATTTTGATTCTGGTTTTATTTTGCTTATAAACATACTTCCAATAAAATTTATGTGCAACCTCTGTGCATATCTATTTTATGCTTATTTTTATGTTTATGATTTAAAAATTTGTTTCACATATTTTTTTTAAACAATTGTCTTGTCAATATTTTAAACTAAAAAAAATAAAAACACTTTCAAACAAACAAAATAAATTGAAAGCTACATTTTGGTGGGATATAAAGAAATAAAAATTCTAGAAAAAAATTTGAAAGAACGAGCAGTAAAAAATGAAAAACTAAAAAAATGGAAATATGTTTTTCAAATTAAAAACATCAAATTAGACCAACGGATCATGAGATCAACTACAAGATGAAAAGGAAAAAAGAATCAAAGACTTAGCCAAAACATAATAAGAATGAAAAAAGATGAAAACATTTGCAAACACACAAACAAAACAAATGGAAGAACGATACACTTTCAAACATACAAAGAAACACAAAATTGAAAACTCTGGAGAAGAAGAAGAGATGATAAGAAAACCTAAAGAGGAAGATGGTAGTTGTGGTCTGAAGAGTTTTAAAGTGTTCTTGCCGGTCGGTTCTCTAGATGAGAAATTCAACTATATACCCTTAGTTATCTTTCAAAGTAGGAGGAAAAAATAGCAAACGTTGGTGGTTTTTTTTCTTCATACGTATATTTGCATGTTATTGCGGTCGTAAACATTTTGATTCCTTCAATTGGTAATCATTTGCTAAAAAGATAGTACAACTCTGGCTATTGAGGGATGTTTCATACCCATTTGCATATATATCGATCAAAATCTCTGGAATCCAAATGCAGTTCTTTATGAATAATTGCAGGTTTAAAGATCAAAACTAGATTTTAACCCCGTGCGTCCGCACGATGTTTTATTTTTTATTTCTAATATAAGTTGCATTTATCATTTTTGTTTAGATATAATTTATTTTTGTTATTTATTTTTTTAAATCAAAAAATTGTTATCATATTTTAATTTTAAACAGTAAAATTTGTAAATTAGTAGAATAAGAGTATACGTTAATTAAGTATACATTGATTTAATGTTAATTATAAACTTTGTTATTATGTGAATTTAGATTTACACATAAACAATCTATATATCTATGAATTTGCTAATCCATCCGTTTAGTTGTCTTAAATTATTTTTAATATCTTACATGTTTTGACAAACTAACCCGTATAAGACTATAATTATAATTGTATAACCCTATAAATATTTACTAATATGGAATATTTGGACTAACTGATTATGAAAATATATAAAAAGATATTTATTTACTATTTGTGCTATTAAAAAAAATATATATATATATATATAAATGGGCTAACCTGTTAGTTTAATTGTCTCAAATCATCTTAATATCTTACATATTTTAATAAATCAACTCATGGACCTTAAATATATATATATATAACTCTAATTAGCTTGATTATATTATTGTATAATATAAATATTTATTAATCTCAAATATTTAATATTTTAGATCGATTGTTTATGATAAAATACGATAAAATATTTATTTACTATGCATTTTTATAAAAATATTATTTAAATTTAAAATTTTAAATTAAATCTTTTCTGTATTTAAGAAATTCTAAAGTATTAAAATTATTATCTAAATTTTCGTAATAAAATTTAATTATAATTTTTTGATTTTTTGAATTTAAATTAAATTGAATGCGAATTTTTGTAACTAAATTTAATTAAATTGAAATTTAAATTAAAGATGACCTACATTTTAGGAAATCTAAAAATATCTAAATTAATAACTAATTTTCGGAATATAAAAATAAAATAAAATATTATAAAAAAACTTTGAGAATGTTTGAATGCAAACACTAAATATGCTTCTGTTTTAATAGAATAGATTATAACCACTAAAACACTTATACAGATCAACTTCTAGATCCCCAACGCCGAGAAAAGAGGAAGCTATCAAACTATTCGTTGATAGACACATACATAGATGACAGTAACAATGAATTTTGTCTACTTCTTTGTTTCTTAATTCCAGTCTCTAAACATCAAACCACACATTTTCAGATCAAAACAGAGGAAGAAGAATGCAAAAGCAAACAAACAAGCCTACGAATTTTCACAAGATTTGTAATCATTTTTTTTCTCGTTGGTCACAGGTTGCGTGGCTGTGTAGTGAGCGAAGATCGCATATCGACAATGGCAGATTTATCTGCACCGAGTTTCATTGCTTCTTTGCTAGCTCTGATGAACCGAGAAGTAGCTCCTTTGACATACTCATGAGCTTGTTTCACAGTCATTTTCTTCCCAACTTCGTCCGGGAAGCTACTGAGGAAGTGATCGCCATTAAGAACCGCTGCAAGTTGAACCACTTCGCTCTGAAACTCAGAAAGAGCTGCGTCTTCTTTAGGCTCAGTGGCTCTCATGGGTGCAACTTCAGGCAGAGTCATGGGACAATCGGTTCGAGGAGAGGTTAAGTGAGAAACAACGTCTTCAAAAGTAGCAGCCCAAGCATCTCTATATGTTAAGTAATTGGAAGAGAGATTGAAGAGCTTCTTGATAGTCGCTGGTATTGATGAATGCTCATACTCTGAGCTTTGTGTTGGCCCTTTTGCCTCGCTCACCACTTCACTCACACAAATTACAAATAATAAGATGTTAGTAAACTATATAATAAAATAAATTAAAATCAAATGGGGTCAGAATATGGTTGAAAACATGAGTCACGCGACGACGCCGACAAATTATAAAATACAGTATACATCTTTCAATGGAATAGACAATAGGTTCAATTATTTTCTCCACTACAATTAATGGATACAATCAAGAAAGTATTATATAAATGTTATATAGTTGTCAATCTATCCATGTGATTTGTTTTTTATTTGCAGCCTTAACCCTTAAATTGTGTTAGCAAATGTCAAAAGTCTGTCGAAAATAGTAGTAGACACATCAAATACAGATGACTTTTTTTGGGTTAGAGAAATAAAATAAATTTCAACTTACCTATGGCTTTCCTTCATTAGTAAAAAAAAAACACTAATATTCAGAGAAATTTGGAAGTACAACTTTAGTATGCTGAAATTTGAAATAGTCAAATAATAAACACAATTAAAGGCTAGTAATATTCATATGCAATAGGCATAATGTAGGCATAAATAATCACCTATAAGTTATAAATCTACTTATATTCTAATAAATTATGTTCCAAACCAGACATTTTTAAAAAGTTCAACTGAATATAAAAGCTTGACAAAAAAACTTTCTACTTAGAAAGCAATGTGCACTAAGAACAAATTTGTAAAACTATCATAAAGAAATCGTTGATAAAAAAGACAAAGAGATCTTACCGGTTCCTTTCTGAATCCAAGGTGAAACCATAATGGTAGGAACCCGAACACCTAACCGGTCAAATTTAAAGAAACCAGGTGCCGGTCCGGTATTTCCATCCGGGTTTGGTATACCGACATAAGGAGTCTTCACATGATCATAGAACCCACCATGCTCATCATAGGTTATGACTAGTAGCGTCTCGTTCCACTGTGGACTCGACCTAAGAGCCTCGTACACTTCTTTAACCAGCTTTTGACCATTAGCCACGTCGTGCGATGGGTGATCGTCGTTGGCCGGTAAGCCTTTGAGGTCGAAATACCTCGGTTCGATGACGGTTAAGCTCGGTAACTTTCCTTTTGCTGCGTCTTTCTTGAACTTCAAATCGTATTGATGCAATTTGAATATGTATTTTAGTTGTCGGAGATTACGGTAGAATAATGTGGTCGGTATATTCTGGAAGTATATTCCGAAGTCGATGTCGTTGCTGTGGAGCGAATCGAATATCGTCTTTTGTGGATACCTGAAATCAAATGATGATTACCATTAAACAAAATTTATTTGAAATAAACTCCTTCAAATTAAAAGAGCTCCTACTTGTGATTGCTTTAGGACATAATACATCAATTTTTCTTTCAAAAATAGTTAAGCAGGAAATGAATTATTGCTAATATAACTATGGAAACTAATCTTATTAAATCCAGGATTAGTAAGTGTTAATTAAACTAATTAGAGCTAACTAAAAATAAAAAAGAAAGAATTTTGTTGACAATATACATACCCTTGAGCGAGCTGCTTCTTGACATGGCTTGTGGAACCATGTGAGGTAGCCGAATAGACGAATAACCGGTTAGGTTGAGTCGGACCGGGAATCGAAGAAAACCACCGGTCGAAGACAGCGAATTCTTTAACCAGTTCGGCGTAAACCGGTACAGCTTCAGGCCGGAATCCTTTCATGACGGTTTCCGACATGTTTCCCGGCATAGAAAGCGCCTGCTCAACGAAACCCATCATCGACGGGATCTGACCCGACCCGAAAACCTGTTGCTCCACAGCCTCGAACGAGTGACCCGGATCCGGATCCACAAACTCCGCATCGCTAGTGAAACAAATGGTTTGGGTAGAATTCGGAACCGGGTTACATTCTTGACCCGTTACACCGTCTATTGACGGGTTAACCGATTTCTTCATCCAGCCTAAGAGGTGATCGAAGGATCGATTCTCCATTACCAAAACGACGACGGTTTTGATTGGTGATTGCCATTGATGGGATCCTTGAGCTACATGGGTCTGTGTGAGAAGACAGTAGAGTGCGAGAAACTGTGAGAAAGTAAAGGAAAATTTGGAAGCTGATGGTTTCATGAATGTGTTAATTTTTTTTCCTCCGGAAAATCTGAGGAAAAGAAAGAGGATTTAGATTCTGTGGTTTTGTTTTGCCTTGGATTGGTTTCAGAAAGAACATAAAGAGAGTGGAGAGATTATTGTCTCTTTGAAACCAAAAAACAAAAAGCAACAAAAAAACATAAAAGCAGAGAAGGAAATCAATAGACGTAGAAAAAAGTGAAATTTGTGGCTTGTGTGTAACTGTGAAGTGTGGAGAGCAAGAACAAAAGCTATGGCGTCTATTTACTTTTTTACTTTCTTTTTTTTTTCGTTTCACTACTGCTTTAAATTGAGTGGGCTCACTTGGTGAAAGAAGATTCTGTTCTCACTGAGAAAAAATAACTAAAACTTAGAGATTTACTCTTTTATTTGGTCAAGGAAAATCCGAAATTTAGGTTGAAATTATAGCTCAAATTAAAATTTGGAATATATATATTCACGAAAAATGGCCTTGAGAGAACCACGTAGATGACCATTTGTTTTCTTGTAGATGTAGGTCATGTTACATCTGTATTCCTTAAGTTCTTAATTGTTTAGAGTTGAGAGATCTTGAATGAGCGGTTTAATTTGTCTCTTGTAAGTTGCAAACTTTTTTTTTTTGAATTTGGATCCACAATAATAATGTATAAATATTTTTATACAGGAGTTTAAATAATCTTTAAATTTGATTTTAAAAAGCTATTTTAGGAGTATGATTATAAATTATCTGTAGGCCAAGAGTATTAATAATATACTTGGTTTACCAAAAATAATAATATTACCTTCATGGTGTAATTACTTTTGGCTAATGTGCCCAGCTAATACCATTTAGAAAAAGAAAAAAAAATCCGGGAGTCAAAGAAACACCCAATGTTTAGTGTTTTTCATTCCAAAAAAAAAAATGTTTAGTGCTTCACATACCCAAAAAATTATTAGTGCTTTACATACCCAAAAAATGATTAGTCCTTTTAGTTTACTATATCCTCCATCTGTTTCACAAAAAAGTATCATTTGATATACTTCATAATATTTAATATATCATTAATTTAGATAATCAAGTACAAATATTACAGCTAGTACCTCGTTTACCCGTTTTTTTCTAACGGTTGCGTAAATATGATGAAATCTTAACATGATGAACGTGTTAAAAAGAAAAAGGTACAAATAAAGTCAGTAAAAGTTATGTTTAACATAGAAACAAGTTGTTGAATGTCACAATTTCCTTGCTAGAAGTATGTACCTTTATTCTATGACATTAGAAGATATATCTTTAAAAAAAACATTAGAAGATATTGAGGGACAAGTACATTTCTTTTGCTTTTATGATATTATCTGAATTAGATACAAGAATAAAAAAAAAAAAAACCTTATAAAGAGTAGAGTGTAAGAAAATAAAATAACAGGAATAAAGAAAAAACCACAAGTTCGTCACTGAGCTCGTGAGTACTGAACTGATCACATCATACCAACCAACTAGCAAGATTTGGTCGTGTGAACATTGACTACATTCATATGGCGATAAGCTTTTTCAGTTTTTGTCCTTTACCAAAATTTAAAAATATAAAATGTGTCTCTCACACTTGCCCTTTTCTGGAAATAGGAGAAGTATATGTCAGTAACTCAGTGCAAGACTGCAAGTGGATTCATTACAAAAGGATATTGGAGAGATTAAGAAAAATCATCCTAACTTGGCAAAAAGATTATACTTACTTTCCTCTTTTATATCTATTGGGCCAGACTGAGATTTAGCCCATAAATTAAGATCCCAGATGAGCCCATTTAAATCTTTCCTCCGTCATAAACAAAGCAACTCATTAAACTGTTGTAACATTCACACGGACTCACGTGTCAAGTCGTTCGAAAACAACGTATCCCGCACGTGACATCGTCACCGGCCGTTTCCTTTTTTCACACCGCACGAGGAAGTTTCGGACTCTTCAAAACTCAAAAATCAAAAAAAAAACTTTCTCAAACCAATTTCTCTCTCCCTCTAACTTCGTCTCTTTCATTTCTCTCTCTCTACTGTGCAAAGTATGGCGGATTGGGGACCTGTAGTGGTCGCTGTGATACTGTTCGTGCTATTGACTCCGGGACTTCTCTTTCAGATTCCGGCGAGAGGTCGAATCGTCGAATTCGGGAATATGCAGACTAGCGGCGCGTCGATTCTCGTCCACACCATCATTTACTTCGGTCTCATCACCATCTTCACCATCGCCATTCGTCTCCACATCTATACCGGTTAATTGTACCGTACCGGATCGGTGGTTTTCCCGGTCGTCTGGTTTGTCGTTGTGTTCACTTTACCGGTTTGTTGTTTGGTTTTTTTTTTCTTTCTGGCTTTAATTTGTATAAATTCTATGTGTGGTGTGGTGGAAACAATTTGGATTATTATAATATGAATCTGAAGATGCATTAAGTATAATTATTCAAAATCTGCTCTATTTTGATTTAGGTTTTTGAGCCCGTGTTTGGCTTCCAGTTTAATCTGGTTCTGGGTTTGTGATTTTGTTTGATGCGTGGAGTTTGAATGTGATGGTGGCCAGTTTAGTTAGGTTTCATTGCTTGTTGATGTGAAAGAGGGAAATACTATTTCTTGCATGAGGCTGGTTATAATCCGGTTTAAGGAAACTATTCTTATACGTAGATACCTGGTTAAGCCTTACTTTGGTTATTGGTTTGCTACGAATGGTTCATTTCCATTTTGGTCTGGTTCGGCTTGTTGTACAAACGAATGTCTGAATTTGCTTGACATGGTTCAGAGTATGGACTTTGCTTCTTTGTCGCTATCTTACGCGTCGCTAGCCATTTTAGTTTTTTTCCTTTTTAATATCCTTCGATTTAATTTTCGTTCTACATGACATTTGATCATCAGTCATTATCTTCCATTAATAATCGCACTACCTTTTTTTCTTCTTTATACAACTAATTACCACCTTTCTTCTTTATACAACTAATTACCACCTTACTGTATCACTATCGAGTTTTAATTCTTGATACAAAAATTTTAATTGTTGTCTAGTCAGTGTCTCGTATGATTTACTTCAATTTTTTTTTTTGAAGTCGCAAACCACACTTTTTATTAATCGAATGAGAGAACAAATGCTTGACCAATAATATGGCATGTAACTTGTAAGTGTACGAAGTTGAAATATCAACTACTCACTAGATCTCTAAGACTCTTAGCCAATTTGGGACTATAGAATCGATCAAACAGGTAGACAACTATTCATAATTCTTTTCCAATTAATTCACTACACGATTATAAGCTTGGTAGTTGTATTTAATATTCGCTTGACCGAACCCTCTCACTTAAGCACCTCAATATTCCGAACCAAGCACAACACTGAGCCCCATGATTTTGGTGCCTCAACACAACCTCTTTAGCATCAGTCTCAGAGACAATTCTTGTAAATCCCAAATACTTGACGCATCATTGCCCATTTCAAGCTTTGCATTCAAACATGAAGAGAAGACAGTTGTCTACTTGTCTAGGTATTGCTCACAGGTATTGCTCGGGTGCCCTGCCATAGCACAGCTCTTATCTAGTGTCGTGCAAATGTTTATAAGAGTTTAAAGCAAACTAAAAAAATGAGGTTTTTTAACCAAAAAATATAATATAATTATAAAACCATATAGTTATATTTAAAAATAAAATCTTAATTTAAAAATAAAAATAGAGTTCGATCTGAGTTGCTGGCAAATGACGCAGTAAAACCCTTCTCGTACCAAATTTAAACTGATGACTAAAAAGATTTTTATTGAGTTTCATTGTGTTAACTCTGTGTTTCTCAGAAGAATGTAGCTGGTTTTTATATAAGGAGAGGATCCAGCTCTTTAGATCTAGGTTGAAGAAAAATGACCAAATTACCTTTATTCACATTTAAGGATTTTTTTTCTTCTTATATTGGATTTTAGGGATTTGGTCTTAAAAATTATTTTAAGATGTCACAAAGCCGATAACCTAAAATAAATTTAATCAATTTCTTAAATCTATTTCTCCAACGTAATCTTAATCAATTTCCTAAATTTATTCCTCTTTTTTTTTCCTGTTATATATATATATATAACACCTATACTAAAAAGAATAACACTTAGTTTTGAACTCAAAATCTTGGAAACCAATACTCACGCCAACTACTCTGATAAACCACCTATTGCGAAAATAAGGGTTCTAAAAACTTTATATATTTTGGGGGCTTGAGACAAAGCTTTTTTCCTTATATGGTAAGCACGGCTCTGCTCTTACCAACCTCTTTGAAACGATCTTAAACCATTCACCATTTGGTTTTCTTTTCATGCTCCATCATTATTACATTTCAGTACGAAGGTATAGGAGGGTTCCATACTTCCATTCTATTTGCCATTGGACTTTCTTCTCTTTGTTTATATACGAAAGAGGCCAATGGTAGTCAAATACTGTTGGGATATCAATCCAAGTCCCACATCGGAAGATTAGACAAAAAATGTCTAATATATAAGCAAGATGTCCAACAGATTAGTATAAGGCCTTTTGGGAAGGAACCCAAAAACAATCCGTGCGGGCTTTGCCACTTGGGCCCAAAGCGGACAATATCATACTAATAGGGAGTTGGACATGGGCTTTAAAAGCCCAACAAATACTATGAGAAGGAGCATTTTTTGTCAGGAAATTTATTATTCTATTACGATGTCTATGTGTAGCGAATGCACCAAGTCCGGAAAATCAACTCGTGAGTTTCTATTTCACCAAGTTCCGTCAAGACCGTTACAAAAGTCGGTCAGTTTCTTGGATGTAAACCATGTGTCGTATGTCACGTAGTATGATATATGTTTATACCTCCGTTTTTTTTCAAGCTGATCAAATTGTTACAAACTTACAATGTTGATATGTTTTTTTTTGTTATTTGTTATCAAAAAGTACTACTAATCACTAATCAGTTACGATTAGACTTACACTTATAGACTTATAATTGTTCATTTCGCGAATGCACCAAGTCAGGAAAATCTACTTATATAAGACTAATCAATCAATATTTTCTCTTTATATATTCAGAAGCTAAATGTTAAAAACAATAATAATCAAAAAGAATTTTATCACTTGAGCAGTAATCTACTTATCAAGCGGCTAGCATTGACCAGAAACTAAATGTCACAATACACCAAATTGATAACAAAATAACGATACTTAAAATAAAGTTAGTAAATTAATAAAAACATTATAGTTTTCCACTGGGGCTCTGTGAATGTAAAATTTGAACGAGACCCAAAACTTACCCTTTTCCTCTCGGCTGGTGTGAATTGAAAAAGCGCCTGAAGCTTTGTAAGAACAAATAGTTGAAGTACAGTAAGTAGATTCGTAAGATGTAACTGAAAACGATGGGGAGAGCCACTTCAGTTATGCGTTTCAAAAACACGCTTGACTAGCGCGTCGACGCCACGAGAACATAGAAAAACCTTGGAACTTCAAAAAGAATTGTTAAGCGGCCTATTCGTGCTTCAACTGGCCTCCCTGGTACGATTTGCTGTCTGTACTTTTGAGCTGTGCCTACACATATCTCAACTCTTAAAAATTTGAATTTTCATGTCTGTACTGATATTCGTTTGGCTAATTCATGCCTTGACTAATTCCCCGTTAGTCAACTCCGTTAAGCTGTTAACGGATGCTGACTCATCTGCCACGTAAGAATCCCCGTTGGAACGAAAATCAGAAAACGATGTCGTTTTAAATGAAACTGGGTTTCAAAATTTTTTTGCAATTTCAGGAATTCGAACCCTTGACCTTTTTGCGTTAGAACCGACTGCAGAACCAGTGGACCATGTGTGTTAATTAGTAAACCATCACGAGTTACCAAATATAAAGCTTCTTCACAATTGTCATTAAAAAAAACAAGTAATACGACGTCGTTTTATGAAGCGGGTATTTAAAAAGATGTGCAAGCTCTAGGACTCGAACCTATAACATGCTTGCGATTAAACCGGCTCCAGAACCAGTAGGATATGTAAGATAATCGATAAATCATTGCACACTTAATTAATATAAACTCTCACAATCCTTGAAAAAAAAAAGAATCGATCTTCTTCTTCCTTCCTCTTCGAAAGGTTCTTCCTTCGAATCAATCCCGATTTTGGACGACGACGGTGGCAGCTGTGGTTTAGCTTGGTGAAATTGGTGGGAGGTTGGAATAATTTGAGGCAAATTCCGAGCCTGGGGACTCAATTTCCCTAAAAAATGAGGTATTTTGAAAATCTAGGGTTTAGGTTTTCGATCTGATTTTCAGATTTTATATTGGTCTTCAATTTTTTAATCGTTTGGAATATTAAATTCGTGTCTTAAGCAATTGTATATTCATATTTCAGCGACAACTTGGATTGTGTGTTCATCATATATTATGGTGGAAAGTTTTTCCCCAATTTTGAATATAGACATCGACGAAGAAGAGGAAGAAGAAGATCGATTCTTCTTAAAACACATAAAAGTAAAACAACGTCGTTTTACTTGTTTTTTTAATGACGATTGTGAAGAAGCTTTATATTTATTAACTGGTGATGGTTTGTTGATTAGTACATATGGTCCGCTGGTTCTGAAGTCGATTTTACTGAATACAGGTCACGGGTTCAAATCCCTGAGAATGCAAATTTTTTTTAAACCCAATTTCATTTAAAACGACGTCGTTTTTTAATTTCGTTCCAACGGGGATTCCTACGTGGCAGATGAATCAGCATCCGTTAACAGCTTAACGGAGTTGACTAACAGAGAATTAGTCAATGCATGAATTAGCCAAACAAATGTCGGTACAGGCATGAAAATTCAAATTTTTAAGAGTTGAGGTATGTGTAGGCACAGCTCAAGAGTACATGCAGCAAATCGTACCAGGGAGGCCAGTTAAGGCACGAATAAGCCGCTTTCCCGTTAGTAGTCTCATTGTAAATTGTAGTAGAGTCACATTTGTACACATTCCAAGAGCATAAGGAATCCACACGAGATGAGTTATTTTGTTTAATACCAAAAGTAAACCGAAAATAGATGACCCGAAATTAGTTTGGTCCTGCCACTTTTTTTTTTTCTGTATTATCCCTATTCCTCATTACATTAACATAATTTGCTCTTGTAATTAAAAGTATATTAGCTCTGCACAAATATAACATGGATAATGATCCCATACCATAACACAAAATTTGGTGTATTTAAGTATTGTATGGTAGATAATGAAATTAGACATCGATAAACGACATAACAGACCAGATAATATTATCATCGTTTGCTAACTTTAATGTATATATATATATATATATATCTAATAACTACTTATGAAAACTATCGTTAATTTTATCACATGTTGAGAAAATAGATTCGTTTCAAATAATAATTTACCAACGGATAAGATTTATTCGTTAACACCATATTTTCATTTTATTCGAGTAAGATAAAAAAACAATACACTAAATCTTAAATCCTAATATTAATCCTTTTATTTAAACCATAAATCTTAAACCATAAACAGTAAAATCATAAATCATAACCCTAAACTCTACACCGTAAACATTAAAGTACTAAACTCTAATCACTTAAATCTAAAACCTAAACTTTAAATGGAAAATCCTAATACATTTAACATAAACCCAAACCCTATAACCTATCATTAACTTTACATAGTGTCGATAACTTATATTCGTTAATATAAAATTAATAAAATTAATATTAAATAAAATAATGATATGAAAAATTGATCTAATTAACGAGTATAGTTAATGATGTTATATGATTTTGTTATTATTAACTGTGTTATCCAACGATTTTGAAAAAAGAAAAGAATGAAACTGTGTTCTATGTAAGAGAAGAAAATATTTTTCAACTGACAACTTTTCAGATTTTAGTCTTATACGATGAGAAAGAAACTTAGTTGAGATGTTTGTAAACGTAAGGAGTCAATAAAATTTTTTTATGGTATAGTGATGTGTAAATAATGCTTTTGGAAGAAGTTAATTTCAATATTATTAATTGATATATAGTGATAAAACTATGTTTCAACAAAAAAATTATTACAACTAAACAGAGAGGAATAAGAAAGTTTTTTTTTTTTTTGTCGAAGAATAAGAAAGTTTTTTCACTAAAATATTCCACTTTTTCTTTTTGGGCAAAAAATATTCCACTTTTTCTTTTTGGGCAAAAAAATATTCCACTTTAGAAAGAAAATTTGACTGAAAAATCTACCAAAAAAAATATAATAAGAGGGGATTTATTCTCTCTCATCTCTTATTGACTATTTACTCTATCTCTATGTAAAAGATAAATAAGACATTTTAATTCAACCCTAAAGTAAGCAATTGAACAAAACAAGTGAGGAGAGAGGAGAGCTTCTTCATCTTCTTTTCCGGACACTGTACCGATCGCCGGCGTCTCCATCCTCATCCTCTTTTCCTGTAAGTTTTTTATTCTGCACTTTAGAAATGAGGACAAAACAGAGATTTAGGTTAAAGATCGACCTTGTTAAAAACCAAAAAAAAGGAATAGTTCATTCTCGTTTGAATTCGAACTCTCTTCCCAATTCCCTTCTACTTTAAGCATTTGAAACTATTTATTTCAAACTCATTTTCACAATTTCTGTAATAAATCTAACATGCAATTCAGATAACATCAAGAGTGAAAAGGAATAGTTTTTTTTTTTTGTAATGGAATCATATTTAGGGGAAAATGTAACGGAAGGGAGCTGCATTGTTGAATTACAAAAGCATAACAGAAATTATTTTCTTCTAATTTTTTGGAATTGTTGATAAATGTTTTCCATTTTTGTTTTGTTTTTTGTTTTTAAATTGTAAACTAAGCAAAGGAACAAGATGGGGAGCATGGTGATTTTGAGCTCAGACGAGGAAGATTCAGATATTAGTGAATCTGAAATGGAAGAGTATGAAGACAAAATCTACCTAAACCTTAAAGGTGGGAAACTGAAAGTGAAACTCTCTCCTCAAGCTTTTGTATGTCCTTACTGTCCGAACAAGAAGAAACCGAGTTTTCAATACAAAGATCTCCTTCAACATGCTTCTGGAGTTGGTAATAGCAACTCCGAGAAAAGAAGCGCAAAGGAGAAAGCAAGCCATCTTGCTCTTGTCAAATACCTCCAACAAGATCTTGCTGATTCAGCTGCAGAAGCAGAACCTTCATCGAAACGCAAGAAAACCGAGAATGCCATTCAAGATTGCGACCAGGACGAGAAGCTCGTGTATCCTTGGAAAGGTACAAACTTTTCTTTCACCTAATACAAACTATACAGCTACTTTACTAAACTTATAAAGATATGAGAATGTGAGTAATGTGGTGTGTTGGATATGTAGTCAAAGGTTAAAACTTTAACCTTAGATTGAAGTGATTGTGTGTATGTTGCTGAAACAGGTGTTGTGGTTAACATTCCAACTACAAAGGCACCAAATGGTCGACCTGCAGGTGAGAGCGGATCAAATCTGAGGGATGAGTACACTCTAAAAGGATTCAATCCGACTAGGGTTCGTACTTTATGGAGTCACTGGGGGTTTTCAGGAACAGCAATTGTTGAATTCAACAAAGACTGGAATGGACTTCACAATGGTCTCTTGTTCGACAAGGCTTATCGAGTAGATGGTCATGGGAAAAAGGACTGGTTGAAAAAAGAAGGTCCTAAATCAGGTCTTTACGCGTGGCTTGCTCGTGCTGATGATTACAACGGAAGTAATGTCATCGGAGAGAACCTGAGGAAGAAGAGTGACTTGAAAACTATAGCAGAGCTTATGGAAGAGGAAGCGAGCAAACAGCAGAAGCTTGTGCAGAACCTGACACAGATTGTAGAAGTGAAAAAGAAAGACATGAAGCAGATTGAGGAACTGTGTTTACTGAAGTCAAAGGAACTTAATGAGTTGATGGAAGAGAAGGAAAAGACTCTCCAAAAGCATAACCAAGAGCTGAATGCTATACAGGAGAGAGCGTTGGGCCACGTTAACAAGATCTTTGAGAATCATAAGAAGTTAACGATGCAGCTGGAGTTGGAGAAGCAGAAACTCGAAATCAAAGGCAATGAGTTGGCCAAGCGAGAAGCACACAATGAAATTGAGAGAAAGAAATTGGCTGAAGAACTTGAACAGGTATCCATTGATCTTCATTATTGAGGTGAGATAGTGCTTATCAGGGTTTAATTAAAGTCTGTTTTTTCTTCCTTTTTTCTTTCAGAATGCATCTAAGAATAGTGCTCTTGAACTAGCAACCATGGAACAACAAAAGGCGGACGAAGAAGTGAGAAAACTGGCAGAGTCTCAGAGGGTTAGTGTCTTGGTCTTGAAAAGATTGGCTTTTGTCTTATTTCCTTTGTAACAATTTGTGATGTTGAGAAAAGATTGTGTACCTATATCTCAGAGGGAAAAGGATGAGCTTCATAAGAGACTCATAAGACTAGAAAGAGAAAGAGATCAGAAACAAGCGATCGAGCTAGAGATGGAGCAGTTGAGAGGAGAGCTAAAAGTGAAGAAGCACATGGGTGAAGACGCTAAAATTGTGGAAGAAGTGGCAAATATCTATAAAGGCTTAGCTCAGAAGGAAGAAGAACTCGAAGAACTCCAAAATTTTTGCCAAAGACTTATCCTTAGAGAGCACAGAGCCAACGATGAGGTTGTAGAATCCCGTAAAGAATTGGTAAACGTACGTATCAAAAAGACTAGTTCTTTTCATTCATATCAAAAAGCTCTTATAACAATGAAACATAGAAAAGATGGGACTCTTCCTTCTAATTCTTGCTTAATTTGTCAGGTTATGAAAGAATGGAAAACAGATATCGGTGTCAAGAGAATGGGAGAGCTCGTGGCGAAACCATTCATGGATGCAATGCAGAAGAAGTATGGTCGTCAGCAAGATGTAGAGGACCGAGCAATTGAAGTTCTCCAGCTCTGGGAAGAGTATATCAGAGACAACGTGTGGCTTCCATTCAAGCGGATCAAGCTAGATAATCGAGAAACCGAAGTGGTAAAGACCTTAACTGACCTGGTTTGCTGTTTTTTTTTGGTTATGTTGAATCTCACCGTGAAAGATTAAAGCTTTTTTTGTGGGGTTTAGTTAGTGATAGATGAGAGTGACGAAAAGCTGAGGGAGCTCAAGGAAGATTTAGGCGATGGTCCTTATAACGCGGTAACGAAAGCTTTGCTGGAGATAGAGGAGTATAACGCAAGTGGAGGGTACATTCATTCAGAGCTGTGGAATATTAAAGAAGATAGAAAGGCTACACTTGAAGAAGGTGTCACTTGTTTGCTTGATCAATGGCAAAAGTCGAGACGCTCGCGCGGATTGGCTTAAGGTTTGTTTCTGATGATAAACAGAGCCAAAAAGACGTTGTTTATTCTGTTTTTCTTGCCAATATATTTCGCTCATAGAGGATTTGATGTTTTGCAGCTGCAGGAGAAGGGAACTCGGATTTGAATAAAAAAATCTGCCGATGCGGTTTGTAGTTGCAGAGAAAAATGTGTTTGGTTTGGTGAAACTTCTGTTTTTGGACAACTTATTAGAAACTTATTAGTGGATATCTTGTATCGTTTCGATATCTTGTATCGTTTCGATGTTCATTGTAGTCTTTAATATCTTTGGACAACTGAGTAATAAATAAAATGTATCATATTATTGTAATATTGTTCACATGCAAAACTTTAGCATGTAAATTAGGACCCTGAATTTATAAATTATGGCGATGATGTTCTATTAAGGCTATTCTTGAGGCGTAACTAAACAATCTAGTGAAAATGAATACAAAAATATGTCGGAATCTCCTATTCTTATCGTCGTCCTCTTTTGAAAGTCATGCAAACACAAGAATCCTCTGAATTTTTTTTTATTTGAATTGTATAGCTCTATTTGATCAATTTTGTAGCAGGAGATTGATGTGTCTCTACAAGAAAAGCCAAGTGAAAACACAGTTACAGCATTATCTATACAGTTTGAAGACAATAGAACTAATACTAAGGGTACATTTTTTAACGGAAAAAAAAAAACTAGATGATATATTTCCTTTATCAAACAAGTCTTTATGTTTAGCCTTTGGTTTGACCATACTCTTGAGAAACAAGTATAGAAGCGATTCAATTACTAAGTGCTGTCAAAAGTCAAAACAAGCAAAAACAAAAAAAAACAAAACAGTTAAGGTGTAAGTGCTACACTGCGTTTGGTAATCAAAGATCAACTTTAATTACCCTGCTTAAGTCCATAATTCTACCTCGTAGCTGATTAGGCACATAATATTTGAGCTCATATTTTCTCTAGCCCGTGAAGGCCCAATACTACTCTGCGTACGGCTCATTTTTTCAGATTTCGAAGAATCTATCTCCCGACGGCCCCTCTCTGTCTCCTCCTCCGGAAAGCTTTCTCTCTCTCCAGAAATCGTTGAAGAATCCTGATTACATAGCAATGGCGACATCGTTAGCTCGAATCTATAGAAGAGGAGTCACCTCAGCTGTGTCTTCGAATCTGATTCGGCGTTACTTCGCAGCGGAAGCGGTAGCGGTGGCGACGACGGCGGAAGTTCCTAAGCCGAAATCGGAGGTGACGCCGTCGCCGGATCGGGTGAAATGGGACTACAGAGGCCAAAGACAGATCATTCCTCTGGGTCAGTGGCTACCGAAGGTCGCAGTCGACGCCTACGTGGCACCTAACGTTGTGTTGGCCGGTCAGGTCACCGTCTGGGACGGTTCGTCCGTGTGGAACGGTGCCGTTTTGAGGGGAGATCTCAACAAGATCACCCTTGGATTCTGCTCAAATGTCCAGGAACGGTGTGTTGTTCACGCCGCGTGGTCCTCCCCAACAGGTTCTTGTTCTCGTCTATTTCGGAATTTGAGTTAGCTGTGTGATTCCATTTTTGAATTAGATGTTTAGTTTCTGGCTATCCAATTTCTGTAGCTACTGCTTGCTAGCGAATTAGAATTAGTGATATTGGAATTTAGGGTTCCTTTTTCATCGTCTATCTAGATATCGACAGATAAAGGCTCACATTTTAGGGGAATAGCTTTTTTACTTTTCTCTTAAGTAGTGATGTATAAGTAAGAATATTGGTTTTGCAATAGTGTGTGTTGAGTGGAAGTATTTTTAGATCAAGAACCCTGAATGTTCCCGAGCATTTTGCGGTTAAACAAGAATGCATAGAAATGCGTTCTTCTTGAGGTGATTAATAGTGATACAGTATACAAGAAACTCACTGAAGGCTTGTGGTGTTGAATAGAATATTAGGGTGGATAGCAGCACAAAAGACCATCTTGTGTAGTAGTAGAAGTTGCTTAGGTGCTCAGGACTAGTTCTGGAACAATGCCATACTAAATACTTTTACAAAGATGATTCTCCACGGAATTTTGATATCCTACATTGTAATCAGAACCTGGATACTAGGTTGCATCAAGCTTTATGACTGTAGCTTCTTGGTCTTGCCAAGGTTTGATTCCTTGTCAAAGTTTTAAGTATCGGGTTTGATTAGGCTCTAGTTTAACACTTAAGTACTCCGAGTGATTGAAGTGTACAACTAGTACTTAATTACTTGAGTCAACATCTTTTCTGGTTCAATAGCTCTGTATTTATAAAACAGTCTTCATGCTTTTTTGATGAGCATCTCTTAGAGCTGGTTTTGAATTTTGATATGATGGAGAAAAAAATCTGATCTTAGAAGGTACTTTCTTCTACTTTGAAAATTTTCAGGATTACCAGCAGATACATTGATCGACAGGTACGTGACAGTAGGTGCATACAGTCTTTTAAGATCATGCACTATCGAACCCGAATGCATCATCGGGCAACACTCGATACTAATGGAAGGTTCACTGGTCGAGACCCGGTCAATCCTGGAAGCTGGTTCTGTTTTGCCACCTGGCAGAAGGATCCCATCTGGTGAACTCTGGGGAGGCAATCCAGCAAGGTTTATTCGAACACTCACCAATGAAGAAACCTTAGAGATCCCGAAACTCGCTGTTGCCATTAACCACCTTAGTGGAGATTACTTCTCTGAGTTCTTACCTTACTCTACTGTGTATCTAGAGGTTGAGAAGTTCAAGAAGTCCCTTGGGATTGCCGTCTAGAAAGCTTTCCTTTTCCAGGTTTCTGGCTACTTCCCTCATTTTAGAAAGCTTCCTTTTTGCATTCGGTTTCGAGTCTGATCTGAATAAGTAGCTGCGGAACAACAACAAAAATGCAAAGCTGTGTTTCGAATGTTGTCTTCTCTGTTTGTTTTTGTTAAATTCATATCCTTGTGTTCAGACTTTCTATATAATATGATAATGGTGAAAACTGAAACCTTATTTTTGTTTCTTCTCACAATAGGAGAAAGTTACTGATTTAGCGTTATTATTGTGAGGGTAGCTCAAGATTTGCTGAGATATAAATAAAAAGTAATTTCGTAATCTTATAGATAAAAAATGAATATTTTTTCGCGGTTGAGACAAAACTTTTAACTTTTCTGAGGTACTTCAATTCGTTCACGTACGTTTAGATAGTTTATTCAGAAACATTCCAATTCTTAGTCGATGTTTAGTCTCGAGTTTTCAATAACAACATCAGAGAATTAACTAATCACTTACTAGATATAATAAACTTTTTGTTTTCTTGTGTTGTTGAAGCCAAAATGCTAATCATTCAAAGATTACAGAGACTAAAAGAGAGACACATCTAAGAATACCAAATGATTCCATAATCCTCGAAAGCACAAAAGCTCTCTCTACTTATCATCTCCCTTAATAAACCCTGAGAATCTCTGCATGGCTTCAAGAGCCTTGTCACAATCAGGTTTCATCAAATGAAAAACATGATCTTCTCCTTCACTCTCCACCAACTCCACTCTTCCTTTCCAACCACTCTTCTCAAGCTTCGCCGCGTAACCCAAACCTTGCCTCACCAACGCGTCTTTCTCAGCCACCATAACCAAAACCTTCCCACAACCCAACCCAGACAAATCCACCGACTCTGATTTCACCACGTTGATCCACGGATCATCCGCACCGTCTTTGTTGTTCGGACTAGCCATCATCCAAAAAGCTTCGATCTTTGACCTCATCGTCGCATCCCTCGTCTCCTTGTCGTCGATCGGTGTTCTCGACCAGAAATAAGGATGAACCAAGATGATCCCGGAGATCCCCGAATCACCACCGTCTAAATCCGAACAGAGTTTCTCCTTCGCAGCTCTCGTCGCCATGTGGTGTGCGATGTTCGCGCCGGCGCTGTCTCCAGCGAGAAACACCTTCCCGAAATCGGCGTGTTTGTTTAACCAATCCTCCGAGCCAGATCCGGCGATGTGAGAGAATACCCATTTGAGAGCCGTCCACGAATCATCGTAAGAGATCGGAATCGGATGCTCCGGTGCACGCCGGTAATCAACCGAGACGGCGACGCAATCGGAGGCGGAGGTTGCCGCCGTGAGGAAGGTGTGGTAAGTCGGGGAGAAAGCTGTTTCGATGACGAATCCTCCGCCGTGGAAGTAGACGAGGAGAGGGAGTTTCTCGCCGGACTCTGCGGCGGCTTTCTCCGGGAGGTAAATGCGGACGGAGAGGTTGTCGTCGGGAGAATAAACGACGTCTTTGGAAACGACGCCGTTTTCTGGGTCTGAAGAAGGTGGGACGGTGGTTTCGCCCATGAGACGCTCGATGCGGCCACTCTTGTAGATTTTAAACACCGGAGAGACGTCGACGGCGATCTCGGAATCCATTGGTTTGGGGTTGATTTTGGGATGATAAGATTTGTGAGACTTGATGGTGTGTGAATGTGTGTCAGTGTGTGTACACGTTTGGGATTATATTGAGAAATTGTGTCTGTAAACTCTATTGGAAAGTTTGGTTTGGTTGAGTTGAGCCACGTGATATGTGTTATTATTGGCCATTCAAATTCAAAGTAGACGTTAACTTGTTGACTAGTTTAGTTGAGACATAGTTTATTCTACGGTGCACCTTTATTTTTGGTGCTTTTTGAGTTTTTTCTTTGTTGTACTTTTGTTTAGTTTTATCTAGATTTGGACGGTCGGTTTGGTTCGGGATTCTCCAATTGCCGGTTTTATCAGGTTTTCAGGGAAAACAAACGTAAGTGGTACGTAACTAAAAGTTTTATTTCGGTTCAGTTTAGAACCGGTTCAACTGTAAAACAAAAATAATAAATGATTAGTTTAAACAAGTTTGGATTCATCAATAACTTTGAGCTAGTCATTGTTATTCATCGCCAGACAAGTCAACGTAGATGTTAATTTGTTGACTAGTTATAAGACTTAAGAGGTAAGATATTCTAGGGTGATCCTTCTTTCCTTCCTTTAAATTTTTGTTTAGTGATCTATTTTAGTTTTGGAAATTAGGTTTGGAAATTTTCTTGTGTCGGTCAATTATTTATATTGGTTTTTGAAACAAAATCCAAATAAAAAAATCTAAACGTCATGGCTTATGAAGTTTTAAGGTGACATGCATCATTAGGGTATGTGTATGAATACATGATGATCCCAAACTTCTTGAGGCAGATCCTCAACGTTGATGTGGTTCTGAATAAAATAAAGGGACAAGCAAGGGAGACAAAAAAAATTGTGTGAGGAATTTATATACAAACTCACTGTTTCCTCTTAGAGTATATTCAACGCAGATGCTTAAAATAGATTTTTTTGGGTTTTTTCTTTTTAAAAAAATGTAAATAATTAGTTAAATAAAGTATCGACACTTGTTTAAGCATTTTAAGATGAAATGCTTAAAAACAGGTGTCAAAAAATTAGAAGACCATAAGTGTGAAACTAAAATATGTTTTCTCTCTCACGACCAAAACATTTTCTCTTTCTCCAGAACCAAATATTTTTTTTTCTCTCTTAGCTTTAGATTTATTATTAAATATTTTTTAAGCACTCCAATTTAAGATTTAGCATTGAACATGCTCTCAGTTCCAATATTATCTTGTTTTTGTTGTTTTTCTTTTCAAAACAGAATACTCTGTTTTGATATAGTGCATAGCTCGTTTAGAAAGAAGGAGAACAAAGAGTTTGAACAAACTTGTTTTTCATTTTTGCCAAAAGTGTTCTCGATTACAATGCAAAACATTAGACTTATACAAGAAATAAGAGGCAACAACTTTTCTCTAGCTTACACCTTTTCCACAAAATACTCGACATAGTCAAAAGGCTAGATATAGCTTTATCTTTCTCCATACTTTCAACTGTTCCACCAACTCCTTAACTGGATTTCTTCTAGTTTGGTTTGAAACCAAAATGGCATTGTTCAACACTCCCACTTGCCATTTTGTGAATCAAACCGAGCTTGTTACGAAATCTCTCAAAGCTTAGTCCACTCAAAGCTTTTGTAAACACATCAGCTAGTTGTTCCTCTCCTTTGCAGAATCTCAACTGAATTTCCCCATTCCTCTCATAATCTCTAACGACATGGTACTTGATTTGAATGTGTTTAGTTCTTCTGTGCTGAACTTGATTCTTCCCAATAGCTATAGCCGATTGACTGTCACAGTAAATAGGTACTCCCTCTTGAGAGTTTATCCGCAAATCTTCAAGTAATCTCCTTAACCATGTTGCTTGGTTTGATGATGCACATAACGCCATATACTCTGCTTCTGCTGTTGATTGTGCAATGGTATCCTGCTTGCTAGTTTGCCAAGTAAATACTGCAGATCCAATACTGAAGCAATATCCTGTGGTTGATTTCAAATCCTCTCGGCATCCTCCCCAATCACTGTCAGAGTAACCAACAAGACTTGCTTCTTTCGCTCTAGTAAACCATAGACCCATGTCAATAGTTCCCTTGATGTATCTCAGAACTCGCTTTGCATCCTTGAGATGAGATGTTGTTGGTTCCTTCAAGTACCTAGACAAGTAAGAGGCAGCAAACATCAAATCCGGTCTTGTAGCAGTTAAGTATAACAGACCTCCCACTAGACTTCTGTAAACCTTGCCATCAATAGATTCTTCTTGTTCTTCCTGATGTTTGCGTTGAGGTATCAATGGCGTAGTCATGATTTTACAGTCCTCCATGTTGAATTTCTTCAACAACTTCTTGGCATAACATTCTTGTGAAAGAAATATCCCATTCTGTTTTTGCACAATCTCCATTCCAAGAAAGTAATTCAGTAGACCCAAGTCTGACATTTCAAACTCATCCTTCATAGTATTCTTGAACTCATTTACCATGCCTTCATCATCTCCTGTGACAATGAGATCATCAACATATATACATACGACCAAAAGCTTTCCATTGCTTTCTTTTGTGTATTAAGCATGATCATTGTCACTTCGCTTGACCTTTTCTCTTTGGAAGAACTCGTCTATTCTGCTGTACCAAGCTCTAGGAGCTTGTTTAAGTCCATAAAGAGCTTTGTGCAGCAAGAGGACATGATCTTCCTTTCCTTTCATTTCAAACCCGAGTGGCTATTCAGCATAAATCTCTTCTTCTAGCCTCCCATTTAGAAATGCCGATTTGAAATCGAGTTGGAAAAGTTTCCAACCCTTTTGAGCTGCAACTGCTATGAGCAATCTGATAGTTTCATGTCTTGAAACCGGAGCAAATGTTTCCAAATAATCAACACCATATTGCTGAGTAAAACCCCTTGCAACTAATCTTGCCTTATGTCTCACCACATTTCCTTTTGCATCTGTTTTCAATCTGTAAATCCACTTCACTCCAACTACGTTTTTGTCTGATGGTCTTTTAACCAATTCCCATGTTTCATTCTTCTCTATCATTTTGATTTCTTCATTCATTGCCTCACTCCATTCGCTGTGTTTGACTGCTTCTTCAAATATGGCTGGTTCCTCTAAGCCATTGTAACATCCTTCCATTACAGCCGAGTATTCTAAGTCTGCATACGGAGCCGTAAGCAGAATGTCTGCGAGTGATCTTGTTCTCTTATTAACACGACTAGAACTTCCTCCTGAGCTTGTTTCATTTGAACTTTGAAATGTAGGTCCTTCATCAGCAAATTCATCATGGTTTGGCTCGACATCTTCAGTTCTTTGGTCTTTTTCTCCTTCCTCATTCTCAATAGATATCTTGTAATCCTTTACAGCTTCCTTCCTGGTCCAATCCCACTGACTTTCTTCATCAAATATGACATCTCTTGAGATGTCTATTTTGTTTTCATCCAAGAGATAAACTCTGTATCCTTTAGTTTGTGAACTATATCCAACAAATATAGCTCTTCTTGACTTGTCATCCCATTTTCTTCTCTTCTCATCAGGGATGTGAACATAGCACAAGCAACCAAACACCTTCATATGTCCAACTGATGGTCTTGTACCGTTCCATGCTTCAAGAGGAGCTGTATTCTTGAGAGCTCTAGTCGGCGTTCTGTTTTGTACATAGGCTGCATTATAAACAGCTTCTGCCCAAAATTTCAATGGAAGACCTTTGGCTTTAACCATTGCTCTAGCCATCTCCACCAAGCTCCTGTTTCTTCTTTCTGAAACCCCATTTTGTTGTGGAGAGTAAGCCGCTGTTAGTTGTCTTTCAATGCCACAATCCTCCAAGAACTTGGTGAATTCTCCTGATAGATATTCTGATCCTCTATCTGTTCTGAGCCGTTTAATCTTAGAGTTTGCTTGATTCTCAACAAGATTCTTGAACCTCTTAAACGTTTTGAAGACCTCTGACTTTGCTTTAAGAAAATGTACCCATACCATTCGAGTAGCATCATCAATAAAGATAAGTATATACCTGCTTCCGCTGAACGAAGTGTTTTGCATTGGTCCACACAAGTCACTGTGGATAAGTTCCAGCTTATCATTGGCTCTTGACTCAGACTCTCTTGGGAATGAGTCACGACTGTGTTTTCTGATGATACAGCTTTCACATCCTTCTTGAGTTATGTTGAACTTTGGTAAGCCTGTGACTAACCCTTTTGATTGCATAACCTTCAAGTTGTTGTAGCCGGTGTGACCGAGTCTTCTATGCCATAGTTCTGCACTTTTATCTTTGGCCACCATTGCAGTTTCTTCATTTGCATTCCATTTGATGTGGAAGCTCTTGTTTACCATTGGCACTTTCCCTATTTCTCTCCCGATTTTGTCATGAATGATGCAGTATTTTTCTTGAAAGGTGACTTTGTATCCATTTGTAATCATTTTCGGTACACTTAGCAAATTCTTACCAAGTTTAGGAACAAGGAAGACTTCTCTTATGATCCTTTTCCCTTTCTTAGTCATTACTTCAATGTCTCCTTTTCCTTCTGAGATTAGCACAGCTCTATTTCCAACCTTTATGGGAACCTTTATGTTTGTGTTAAGTCTCACAAACATTTCTTTGTTTGGCGTCATGTGATTAGTGCATCCACTATCAATGAGCCAAGCATTTCCTTTGCTTGATTCTTCATCTCCTTGTTCTGCGGTGAACATGTGATTCTTCTCTTCTTCATCATGTTCAACATTCGCTTGAGTTGTTCTTTTGCCGAGTTTGATATCTTCTTTCACCATCTTGTTCTTGTTGTTTCTTTGAACCATCTTGATTTTCTTTGTTGCTGAGTCTTCTACAGCCATCATCTTGTTCTGTGAGTCTCCATGAATCATCATGAACTCTGATACCATGTTGTTTTTCTTCTCAAAACAGAATACTCTGTTTTGATATAGTGCATAGCTCGTTTAGAAAGAAGGAGAACAAAGAGTTTGAACAAACTTGTTTTTCATTTTTGCCAAAAGTGTTCTCGATTACAATGCAAAACATTAGACTTATACAAGAAATAAGAGGCAACAACTTTTCTCCAGCTTACACCTTTTCCACAAAATACTCGACATAGTCAAAAGGCTAGATATAGCTTTATCTTTCTCCATACTTTCAACTGTTCCACCAACTCCTTCTTAACTGGATTTCTTCTAGTTTGGTTTGAAACCAAAATGGCATTGTTCAACAGTTTTGAACATAGTTTATGTTTTTTGAGTAATATATCTATGACTATTTGTGTTATGTTACAATCATATCACTTGTTGCTCTCGTCATGTGCAAATATACATTGAAATAAAAAGTTATAATGTTCACGTTTCTGCTTATCGTGTGCCAATATATTGTTGTTTGAAAATGGATTCACATATAATCCATACCTGCAACCTGCCCATTTGGAACAACTTAAGCTCCTCTCACTTGAAAGTTTGCGCTTTTTAGAGTTTGAGGCTGGTTGGCTTTATGAAAAAGTGTAGCCAAAGTTTCAGAGATTTGTTGAGAAATTTGAGGCAAGTCAAAAACGTAGCTTGATCCCTAGAACATTGACATCACCAAAGAATTAGAAATAATAAAAAAAAAGATTACAAAATACTAGAATGGACTCCAGAAAGCAAATAAAAAATATTAAAAATAGTCGCATTTTTTTTAGGGCATCGATCCCTTGGCTTTCAAAGTTCATTAATTATCCACCTCAACATTTTGATTGCATGTCACGCTGTTATGACCTTTGCTGATGACAATTCCCACAAGTAACAACTCTTCTATATCCTATTAACTTTACTTTTTTGATGTAAACGGTGCTTTAATCACTTTAATCATAACATATATTTATTCTTTAGACAACCATGTATCACTTTATCGGATTGTGAAAATACTAAACATTTTATGGCATATCTCACCAATCATTGGGACGATGAAATATTTGTACGTTTCTTATCATTCACCCGTTCTAAAAATTGCCCCAAAAATTCAAAACTTAAATTTAAACTTTTTTCGTTGAAGAGGCCCAAAAAATTTGGCCCTAAAGACCTCAATTTATATTGGGTCCGTCGTCATAATTTGAAATTATTGTGAAATGATATCCTAATCGATGTCCTATTCAAGAAAAAATAGTTTTTTTAGGAAGGTTTGAACATCAATGGTTTTAAATCTTCATTTCTCTGGTTTGCATATGTCTCTTCTTTTCGTTTTTGTAATTTTGGGACTCCAGCTTTGAACTCTGCAACTTATCTTTTTATATTCGTAGATAGTCCATGACTTGTGATACACTCTGAATTATCTAAAGTCTATCTTTCTGGCACATTTTCATCCCAAATTTCAGGAAATTTCATTTACACTTTTTATTTTTAATTTTCTCGATATTATCCGGATTTAAGTGTCATCTATCTATGACTTTGTGAGAGATTAGTTAATGTATTGCTTTCAAAATTCAAAAGGGTTTTCTTTGGGACCCTTGTTTTAACTACTACCTCCTCCCTTTCTACGTGCCTTCTCATCATCAGCATGATGTAAATTAAAAGTCATGATTGTATAGACATTGATTTGATTATCTCATCGTTTGGGTAAATAAACGTGTATAATGGCAGTCCATGGTCATCATTAATCATCATCATCATCATCATCATCATCATCATAGACAACAGCATGTTTGTGTTATGTCACCAAGAATAAAAGTCCACATGAAAAAACTTATTATAATCCAATCATCAGACTTAGACATATCAACCATTCCAATTTATTATTTTTCTACCCCTTAGTGTGTATATATATAGAGTTGCTATATGTAAGAGTCCCTTCACTACACAAACATCAACATATATACGTTTCCATTATCTTCTTCGCCTTCTTCTGCATATTAGTACGGTTTGTGAATCAAATCAACTCACTTTCAAACTGCAGGTACCATTTCTAAAGTAGCGGTATTGGTACGGTTGAATCGGATCAAATCACTCTATCTTTCAATTGAGTCAAATGATTTGATTGAGCCGTGCCAATATCTCTATTACAGAAAAATCACATATTTTATGTGAATTTTTTCTTCTATATCACATCATGCTTTTATCAACCCTGACCTAATGTTAACTTGTTTCCGAAGAACAAGACCGAGAAAGTTGTGTATCTTTTGTTGATTGAAAGGTGGAGATTTGTTTTTTTTTTTTAAAAAAAAAATATTGGAGAACTTGCTGCTCCGTTGTGCAGTCTTTGAAAAAGGAAAATGAAACAAGTGCCTTAGTGTCACTTTCACTCGTCCACCACGTGATCTCGGAGTCCTCTTGAAGATAATATAGAGCCTTCATATTTGTTGTGGTGGCCTTTGGAACTTGGTATATTGGACCTTGCGTTCCTTTATCTTAAAGAGTTTAAACCGGGCTAAGCTTTGGAAGAGTCCAACTCTTGTACTAGTTAATATCAAGAATTCACTATATATCGTTCTAGAGTATGAAAACTATCTCTTGGAAATCACATAATCGACATGATTATGCTTGTAATTTAAATTTAATTCGTAACAAGAGCTCGTAATCAAGCATGTAAAACCAATTTGAAAATAATAAAAATTAGCCTTAGGTTTCTATATTCGAAAATATGAAATCAAGCATGTAAAACCTCTTTGATATAATCAAACGCCATAAGCTGAATTCGAAAAGTACTAATGAAGACAAAATCTAGAGAACACAAAATTAAGCGGCATTTGGGACGAGACCACATAACATGGTCTGGTTTCAAGTGTTATGAACAGGTTTCACTACAAAAAATTCGCTGAATAACGTCATTCAGTTAACGTTATTTTGTAAACCGACTTTAACATTCTTAAAAAGATGGATTTTAACATTTGTTTGTTAACCGACTTTAACATTTTAGTGATCTAACGTCGATTGGATCTATTAAACAAAAGCTCATTAGCTAACATTTCAATTGGATCAAAACAAATGTCTTTCTTTTTTATGTTTTTTCATTCCCAGTTCTTTCCGAGTTCGATTACGAAACAAAAATTGGGAATCCATCTCCACAGCTTCAAATCCTTTTTCATTCATCGATTTCAGCTTTAAATCCTTACAATTCTCATCGATTTTGTCTTTCAAATTGTTTGAAATCAATCTTCAAAAGGCACACATGCGGGCAGATCTAACACCGAGTTTCAGAAGCTCTCTTCTGTGATAGCTCGACAGTAAAGGTTCGTTCTGTAGAAATTTGCTGCGTTTGATGATGATGATCACATCGATTGATTCTAATAGTTTAATTTTTCTTGTCATCGTAGTTTCATACAAATCTGTGTTCGTGGGAAGGGATAAGCTACTCATCGGTGATCTTCAACCAGGTAGGTTTTGTATCTTTACTTGAATCAATCTGTCAATTGAATTTCGTTTTGATTAGATTGAGTTCTGATTAGATTGCCTTTTGATTAGATTATATTTTGATATCAGAAAAATTTGATGCTTCTCATTTGAATGTCATTCCTTGGACGTTTTAGCTAACTAGTCAGAGATAAACTCTTTTTTTTTTTTTATGATGAACTATCGTAGTTTGAATCTGTAAGAACTGTAAGAGATTGGTGTGTTGAATTTTCATGATGAACTAACTCACTTTTCAAAGATAAACATTTTCAGTCCAAGAGCTATTTCATTACTTCTTTGCTTCACCTAAATTTGATGGTACTCATTTAAATCTCTTCTGATGCCATTCCTTGGACGTGTTAGCTCAATAATTGATCATTTGTTTTCCTTATTAGTAGACTGAATTTAGAATGGACAAGTCTTGGATATCTAAACATCGTTTATCTCAATACTACATAAGTGGAGTCAAAGATTTTTTGGATTTTGCCTTTGGTAATATACCCATGAGGGGACTTTGTTGTTATGCGATTGCTTTTGGCACTTTTACATTGAGTTTCCATGATTCATTGATCTCTTGATTTTCCCACGATCTGATACTGTTGCAATCGTTATTTCAATAAGAAGCCTTTTGTTTTAACAAGGCATTGGTTTGGTCGGCTGATGGTGTTGTTTTATGAATATTACGAGTAGGTGCTTCACATGGACAGAAATGATTACTATGGTGGGGAAACAACATCGCTTAATCTCAATCAGGTTCTTCTATCTGATTTTCTGTAAATGCTTTGTAGTACAGTTCATCATCAATAACTTTTCTTTTGGTTTTTTTTTTTGCTGTTTCCAGCTTTGGAAGAATCTCAAGGGAGAAGAGAAGGCTCCTGAGCATTAACGTGCTAGCAGGGATTACAATGTGCTGGACCAGTTTATGATGGGTAATGGAAAGCTTGTCCGTGTCCTTATCCACACTGATGTTAACTAAGTATTTGTCCTTTAAAGCTGTTGATGGAAGCTATTTTTTCGTTAAAGTAAAGGTACAAGCTTCTCATTGATGTATAGGTTTCACTGATTCCTTTGGAGGCCCTGAAACTGGTATGTTATTCATCCATAGCTTCTGGTTCCTTCTTGCAAGTTTGTTTGTTTCATTGATGATGTGAGGAGATTGTTTATAAATGCCTCAGCTAGGATTTGAATATGATTGTCTCAAGTTTGTTAGATTTGTTCCTTCTTGCAAGTTTATTTGTTTCATTCTCGATATGAGCAGATTGTCCCGATGCCTTAGTTAGGATTTGAATCTGATTCATTGTTGTCTTTTCAAATAAATATTGTTACAGTCTATTTGGTGATGTTATGTAATCGTTGCCTTATTTAATTTCAGGCTAATTAAAGCATCATCTGGAGAAGAAGTGTACAACAAAAATCATGAAGACAGTACAGATTATACAATACTGTATAACAAAATTGTATCTTTCATATTATAATTTTAGTGACATTGTATTTGGAGCTGATATATATTCTATGTAAAATCATATTCGTGTGATTAATTGGAATTTTTATTTGAGTGTATAATCTATTATATATATATATATAAAAATAAAAATAATTAGCATAAAATAATAAAAAATAACAAATACGTCGGTTGTAAAGCAAACCAAAACCGTTGCTAAAATTACTAAAAAACTGACGTTAATTGTTTGACGTTAAACATAACGTCGTTTGTTCAAGTGAAGTTAACAAATTTAACGTCGTTGATTGTTAAGACGGTTTAAAAACCGACGATAATACATTAGCTTCAGTTTATAAGTGACGTTAAATAGAAATATAACCGACGTTATATGCCCTCTTTTTTGTAGTGTTTCGACTTTCTAAGCATTAAAAAAAAAGTCTTTGACGTAAAGAAGATTATGTCATGTGACTCATGTCATACGTAATGAGCAATATCTATTATATAAAGACTCAGTTGAGTCTCACAAACTTGACACATCAGCACTCATTTTTATGACACATCAGTTCACTTATTTATTATTAAAAAAACTAAATTAAAACTAATTATTTTTATAGTCATTTTCCCTATAATTTGATTATTTATTATGATGGCTTTTTGACTTCAGCTTTTGATGTCTCATATTCTTAATGACGCTTCAAACATTATTAATATAAAGATTTTTTTTCTAAATGTTTCAACGCATATATGTAGGAGAAAAAAAGAAGAAAAGAAGTAAAGATAATCTCTACTCTACAGCTTTAAATTGAAATTTATGCAGGTTTCTATGTAGAAGCCTACAACAATAAACGTTGTCCACAAATCCACAGTTTTAGATCTACTTCTTGGTTACGGTCAGAGACATTGATGGTAACACTCAATTGTGTTCGTTTAAAGGAGAAGAAGAATTTTGTTTGAGAATTCTATAAATAGTAAATAGCAAGACGATATCGAAAGTTGCTGTGATCAAGAACTCTTTTTTTTTTTACTTTACTGTTTGAATGTTAATTTGCTACATACATTTCTCAAGTATGGTGACTATAAACTTATGAAAGATGATTAGCTACTATGAAAATTACTGATAAATTTTTTTTACCTTGCTTATTTGGGTTCTTAAAAGAGAAATTTGCAACTAATTTAATTTTTATTACTAAACATTTTTTGACTTTATGATAAGTAAAAAGGAAAAAATTCTTACTATGAATTTTCATATTTCGGTTATTAGGGAATCTATAGGGGTTCACTTAATGGAGGGAAGATGATCAATTATATTGGCAAATGGTTAGCGTTATATTTTCAAGTTGATGATGCAGTGATCTTCCTAACATGGTTTAAATAAAACACTAGAACAAATCATTGAATGCGATACATGCATGGAAATCAAAGTAAACAAGCGTTGGAAACAAGCAAGGAAAAAAATGAAACATTTGTTTAGGTAAGTTAACGATAATTAACACGCACTGAATTTAGTAAACTTGAGTAAGCTTTACAAAAAAGTAAAAATTCGCTAATGGTTTGTTCTTTTAAGTTGAATTTAATTCACATAACAGAAAAAGAAGAAGTCTCTACCATAAGATGGGTGGTATAATGATCATGTAAACTACTCTGATTTGAAGAACTATTTGATGCCGCAAATTTCTTTGTGTTTGAATAATCATGAGAATTATCTTACTACTTTTGATACCAGTAAAAACAATTATGGATTACATATCTAGATTTGATGGATTCTCATATCTAGATTTGTTTTCTTAAAAAAAAACTGATGTAGTCTTAAAAGAAGAAATTAACGGTTTTTAGTAGAAGAAAGTTTAATAAGCTTTTTGAAGATAAAATAAAAAACCAATATAAAAACCAACCAAAATAAAAACACCTTAAAAAAATATGTAAAAAACTAAAAAAAACCAATAAATTTATTAAAAAAAAAAAGAGCCAGTAAAAAAGTTAACCAAAACCAGAACATCTTAAGAAAATAAGTAAAACAACCAAAAATCTAAATTTAATTAAGTTTTAAGCATTAAATAAATAATAATTAAAAAAGCAACCCACGCATTTGCGTGGGTAATTTTCTAGTTTACTATAAAAAACCATCGTGTAAACATTGATAATAAATCTTCGAGTTAACGAAATCCTTAGACCTTTAAAAGTTAAGCAAAACAAATTATCTAGAATTTTGACAAATACTATGATTGCTTATCCATTTATATATATGCTAAAGTACATGTAATTTAATTTTTAACTCCAGCATAAATCGTTGATGCATGATTATTTTTGTAGTACCCGAACGCCCTCGCTTAGATTATTGCTATTACCTCTAATGAGTTTCTTATGATTATTTAATGAATTGATTTGTGGCAAGAAACTATTAAAAGAAACTATGTTTTTTTAATGGTCTATTGGGAGAAACTTATATGGATTTCTTGTAACAAAAAAAATTATGTTTTTTTAATGAAAATAAAGATAATTAATTAGATTATTACATTATTAAACCAAAAACAACACAAACATATATTTGAAATGTAAACTTAAATTTTGCAATAAAAACTTAATTGTCGGCTTCAGTACGTCCCAATTTTTTGCCAGATATGCTCCAACAAATCAGCTTGCAAACGATTATGCCGTGGTTTATCCCGAATATCATTTCGAATACCCATCATATCAGCAATGTTTGAGGGCATATACGTTGAATATGAGAGATCCACAGTTGAACTTCCGCCTCCTTCTCCATGTTCAAAATCTGAAAGATCAAAATGTCTATATCCATCTCATTCGTCTTCTACTATCATATTATGGAGTATGATACAAGCTCTCATAATCTTCCCTATTTTTGCTTTATCCTAAAAAAGAGCGGGATTTTTAACAACGGCGAATCAAGCCTGTAAGACTCCAAAAGCACGTTCGACATCTTTTCGGCAGCCTTCTTGACGTTCAGCAAATAAGCATGACTTTGGATCTTGTGGAGCTGGTATAGATTGGACAAAATTTGCCCATTTTGGATAAATACTATCTGTGAGATAGTATGCTAACTTATACTCCCTTCCGTTAACATAAAAATTCACTCGCGGAGCTTTACCTTGTATTATGTCATCAAAAACGGGTGAGCGATCAAGAACATTGAGATCATTTAATGTACCTGGAGGTCCAAAAAAGGCATGCCATATCCACAGATCATATGAAGCTACTGCCTCTAGAACGATAGTGGGTTTTCCTGAACCACCTGTATACTGGCCTTTCCAAGCGGTTGGACAATTCTTCCACTCCCAATGCATACAGTCGATGCTTCCTATCATTCCGGGAAATCCCCGTTGCTCTCCAAAATGAAGTAACCGTTGAAGATCCTCTGGGGTGGGTCTTCTTAAGTACTCATCACCGAACAAATCTACAATTCCTTCTACAAAATGTTCCAAACATGCACGATCGGTTTTTTCACCTAGACGGAGGTATTCATCAACCGTATCAGCCGCAGTGCCATATGCCAAGAGACGAATGACAGCTGTACACTTCTGAAGCGGTGAGAGACCAGGCCTTCCGAGCGCATCTTTCTTCTGTCTGAAGTAACGTACTTCGTTGGACAGTTTTTCAACTATACGTAAGAACAACTGTTTGTTCATCCTAAAACGTCGCCGGAAATAATTAGCCGGATATGTTGGAGTTTCACTGAAATAGTCGTTCCATAACAGGTTGTGGCCTTCTTCATGATCTCTTTTGATAAAAGCCCGTTTTTCCATGATTTGGTTGTCTCCAGTTGATCGCCATAATAGTTCAAACAATTCTGTAAAGTTTGATCGAACATTTTCTGTAAGTTTTCTTCAAAAGCTTCATTAACTGGTCCATTAAAGTCGTTCTTGGATGAAGAAGCCATTTTTTTAAAAGGAATTTGATTGGCAATGAAAGAAGAAGAAGAGAATTAAATTGAGAAAGCTTGTGAGAATTAAAATGATGAAGCTTGTTTGGTATAAATGAGTTGATAAGGAAGAAGAAGGAAGAGTATGGAAGAAGGAAACTTAGATTGGTATCATAATAAAAAGAAGTTTGATGTTTTTGCTTTAGAGAGAAGTGACGATAAAAAGAGAGAAGAAGTTTGATGAGTATATGAAACAACAATTGCAGGATAGTCTCTATAAATAAACTACTATAACTTATACATGTGGTTGTTTTTACAATGTGTGGTCTAAAAATTAGATAAGTACTTTTCATTCTGAGAACAAAAAAACAAAAGACAAGGCAATAAAAAAAGAGACTTGTGACACTCGTTTGGTGTTTTGTGGCCACGCCTATGCAATAATTGTTGTCCACCGAGTGGGAAATCTGTCACCATATCTCATATCTGAAACACAAAAGTACAAGTACAAACATAGGGTGAGTTAGTATAATAATTCAACAAGAGCAAAGTTCATACATAAAAGAAAAGGTTGGCATATTAAGTTTTATATAAAGTTCAAACTTAAAGCTCATCATCTTTAGTTAATTATCATAATTTTACTTAAACGAGACATTCAAGCACAAAAGTAAACTTAACCGAACATAGATAAACTTAACCAAACATAGATAAACTTAACCGAGACATTGAAGTTCATAGATAAAGAACAAAAGTAACAACCACATTCAACTACTTAACCCACTTAAGCAAGTACAAACACCAACTTAAGGTAAACATAAACAAAAAATAAGCTTAAACATAAACACCATTCTAAAACAACTCAGTCATGAGTTTCTTCTTAACATCTTCCTCATAGTCTGATAGTGGCCCTTGCTTGGCTAAAAGACATTCAAGTATACCCATCTTCTTGATTTTTGCCTTCATTTCCAAGTCTTTCTCTTGAATTTGCCACACTGCTTGAAGCGCAAGCAATGGTTCTTCTTTCTCTACCTCTAACTTCTTGCCCTTGGCTTTTGATGCCTTTACACCTGCAGGTCGCTTGCCATTATCTTCATCCCAAGGCTGGGTCTCCTCAACACCCGAACCATCTAACACTCTTCTTTTTTTGGAGTTTCCAGCGACTTTGTCTATTGAAAGAGCATACCATTTCTGATCATTCCTGAGCTCATACCAAGCATGTTCTAAAGTGAACTTCTTCTTGTGATTGTTGTAGAAGATTTCATGAGCCATTTTGAGAATATCATTCTCATTCTGACCACTGGATCTCTCTCTACAAGCAGCCTCATATGCTCCACAAAATTTGCATACTTGATCATTTATTTTCTGCCATCTTTGTTTGCATTGTATCGCCTCTATCTTCTCACCAACACACTTTGAAGATTCTGAAAAGTAAATGGCTATGCGCTTCCAAAAGGCAGTTGACTTCTGTTCATTTCCCACCACAGCATCCTTGCTCGTGTTTAACCACGAGCTAATGAGAAGAATATCATAACTCGGGCTCCACTGTCTTCTTTCCTTCTTTTCCGTTGCAGGTGATGCTTCACCGATGGATGCAGCACACAGAGGAGTTTCTTCAACAAGGCTTGATGGATATCCGCAAAAAACAGAATCTTGTTGACTGTTCAACAGTTCAACAAAGTTTGGGGTGGTGAAAGATGGACCCATAGAAGAGAATGCCATTTGGTACAAGGAAAGATGAGAATAAAAGATGAGAAGTTTGAGGCAAGTGGCTTTTGGGAATGGATTTTGGGAATGGGTTAAAGGATTAAAAGAAAAGATGAGAAGAAAAGATGAGAAGTTTGAGGCAAGTCGCTTTTGGGAATGGGTTTTGGGAATGGGTTAAAGGATTAAAAGAAAAGATGAGAAGAAAGAGATGAAGCAAGAAGCTTTTACGGAAAGAGGAAAAAGGAGAATCAAAAACAGAACAAAAAACAAGCACAAACTGAGAAGAAGAAGGAAAGAAAATATGTTTATAAATAGAGGAAGCACCAGCTATGAAATAAACCAACGCTGCAACATTAATGAAGGAAATGAAAAGGAACATTGATAAAAGAAAAGCATAAACGTTTTCCAGGGTTCATACCCCATTTATTATCATAAACCAACCTAATATCAGCCATTACTCTACACTAACGCAAAAAGAGATATATTGAGTTGACATATATCTAACACAGAATCAGCTTTCATTAATCACTTCCCTAAATCATTAAACCCTTTAAAACCATGAAAACTGAAGCACCATTGATCAAGCTTCAACCACTCCATATCTAACTAGGCATTAATTGTCATCAACGAAACTAGAAGACTAACCTTAACCTTTGTAACGAGCAAAGAGAAGAGGAACCTTGGTTACGAGCAAAGAGAAGAGGAACATCAGGAGATAGACCTTTGGAGTAAGCTAAATCTGCAAAAATCATTAACCATATTATCTTTCACTATATATCAAGAACCATTTACATCATGAACCATCACCGAGCATGAACAATTTAGATCATGAACCATTTAGATCATGAACCATTAACTTAAGCTAAAAGAGATAGAAATATTTAGAGCATATGATCAAAAACGATTTACATATGATGAACCACATACCATTTACAGATCAACAACCATTTACAGATCATGAACCGTTTACAGTTTACAGATCAGAAAATCATTTACAATGCATCAATTTAGAGACTAATTCAAGAAATAGATAGAAACTACATGCAAAATAGAGAGATCATTTAACTATTTCTAAGATTTACAAACAAAATCCTCGATGAAGAACACGAGGAAAAGAATGAAGAATCAAAACAAACAAAAAGGATGAAGAGGATTAAGGAGAAAATCACTTATCTGTTAAATCGATGGAAAACATATAGAAGCCTCTGCATATCGGCGTCGGAGAAGAAGAGCATCACCGGAGATGACACTATACCAGATGGCGGATGAAACGAGAAGGTGCTTTAATGAAAAAATTTGTTCGACAAAATGAGAAATGATTGACGATTTCCGGCCCCAAAAAAATTTAGGCCGAGAAGATGAGATTTGGCCGAATTTTTTTTGATCAATCAGAGACCGCCACATAGATAACACATGATCGTTTCTTCTAAACTCAAAATTAGAATCGATCCCACTAATATTGGGCTTTTTTTACTAAATTTTAAATTGAAAAGGCTTCAAGAAACCAACAAAAAACTAGCAATAAAGACGGTCTTAAAAAAATCACCTCAAACGTGAACGCCGTCGTTTACTTTGAAAAACTCACCTCAAACGTCAACGGCGTCGTTTAGTGTGATGGTATCATTTTCTCTTTATGTGTATGTAACTATGTATGGTATGTATGTATACATTTCAGATAGCTTTGCCGCGAGCTGTGAAATTGGTGACTAGAGCCCGCCTTCGTGTTCCACCAAAAAGTTTGAAATCCCCCAAATTTATAATCTAGGGTTTTTTTCTTTCTTTCGAATTTCTCCCAAAAGCTCTGAAATTTAGGTTTTCTTCACCCTCAATTCAGTTCTCCTTTTCACTCTTCCTCTGTCTCGGCTTTAGCAGTCTCACATGGCGACTGAAACCCTAGAGGAGAAGTTACCAGAAGCCGATTCTCCGCTGAAGGAAGAAGATGCTGTTGCCGATTCCGAGATGGGTACGGAGAAGAAGGAAACTCCGGTAAGTGACGGTAAGGAGGATGAGGTGAAAGACGAAGACATGGAGGAGAAAGGCGAAGAAGACGACGGAGGAAACAAGGAGGAAAAGACTGGAGAAAGAGATAACTCGTCGGAGAAGGAGCCGGTGACACCTGTCAGTGGGAGACCTACAAGGATGAGAAAGAAAGTGGAGCGTTACATTTTGCCTACTCCCTCTCGATCCTCGGGGAGCAAGCCTGTGTCAATTGAGCAGGTAAAACGATGGAAAGTTTTCTTCTTTCTCGATTTAAGCCTGCAAAAATTGGCCTCTGACTAGTTCTGGTTGTTTCAGGGTCGTGGAACACGGCTTAGGGAAATACCAAATGGTATGTATTTATTTACCACCATTGTTGATTTCAATTTAGTGTCCTCTTTAAGAGATCTCTACATGATACTTACTTGGAAAATGATCAACTGTTCTGTTCCTTTTCTTTGATGTGTTTCGTGATGTTTGCTTGTCTGACTAAACTCTGCTGTTAGAATGTTGTCTGATGGCTTTGAACTGTTTTCAGTGGCGTATAAACTATCCAAAAGGAAACCTGACGACAACCTCTTCTTACTTCACACCATTCTTTACGGGAAGAAAGGAAAGGTGCTTTGAATTGTTTCATTTCGTATTTGATGATGTGAATATTGTCTCTTTGAATATGTTTGTTGTCTTTTGTCAGAGTGAATGATTGATTTACTTAAGGATTGTGTGAATAATTAATGTGCAGGCGCAGATGCTGAAGAGAAACATTGGTCAATTTTCGGGTTTTGTATGGTCAGAGGAAGAGGTAACATCATCTTGGTAGATATTTTGTTCCAAGGATGCGTATGGGGATCAGCCTTTGTTTTGAGAGCGGTATTTTTAACTTTTTCCAGGAAGAGAAGCAAAGAGCAAAAGCAAAGGAGAAGCTTGAGAAATGTATCAAAGAAAAGCTAATTGATTTCTGTGATGTGCTTGACATACCGATAAACAAAAGTAATGTGAAAAAGGTAAAAAGATAAGACATTTTGGTCTATTTATCTATATATCTATCGGTTGTGTCTTGTTAGAATAATTATTCATACGTCTGTTCTGTTACCTTCAGGAAGAACTCGCTGTAAGAGTGCTTGAATTTTTGGAATGTCCCAAGGTAACAAGGGATATTGTACTTGCTGATAGTGAAAAGGTACTCTGATATAGTAGCTGAATCTGATTACTGTTCTCTATTGTTTTTTTATTTATTTTAAGTTCAATACCGCGTGCTGAATTGTTTTTCTATTTTCTTTGAATATAGGAAACTAAAAAACGGAAGAAGAGCACACCCAAAAACGTGACTTCTGGAGAATCATCAGATGTCCCAGCCAAGGTTTGTAATTCTTAACTTTCCTCTTCTTTGTAGTTTGTAATTGTTCACCTGATTTGTTCGTTTTAGCTCCTTGTTGGTAACACTAGCTCATTTCCTAGTTTTGTAATCAGGTTTGGTCTTACTTGAACCATGTGGTCTTTATGATCTGAGAAGCTTTGTCTGCCTCCCTCATTTATGCTTGAACTCAGAACTTATCTAGGAAGCTCTGCAATTTACATTGTGGAACAATCTCCAAATTGCATCAGTGCGTTATTATATGATTTTTTTTTTGGCCAGTAGTCAGCATAGGTATTAGATAGCTCAGTTAAAGTTTATTAGCTACATCTCATCACTAGCTTATTTGTATAAATTTCTGGAAGGAAAAATTCTGACCATTTTCATGAATATCAATCCTCTTTTTGTCTTTGGGTGACTTGATTTTTAAGCCTTTGAAGAGTGTTGCATAAACATCTACTGTCTGTGTCTGTTTAATATTACAGAAGAGAAGGCAGACAAAGGAATCTGGAACTGAAGAAGGTAATGATAAGGGAGATGCTGATTCCGAAGGTACTAATGACTCTAGTGGAGAAGATGATGCAGCTCCAGAGAAAGAAAACGACAAAAGCGAAGATACTGAAACTGAAGATGAGAAAGATAAAACTGAGGAGAAAAAGGCAACCGATAAGAAAAGCTCGTCCAAAAGGACTAAGAAGGAGAAACCATCACCTGAAGAGGAGAAATCTCTTAAAGGTTCTGAAAAATCTGGTGGAAAATTCTCCAAACAAGTCGATAAATCAGCTTCATCATCAAGCAAGAAGCAAAAGGTTGAGAAAGACGATTCCTCTAAAGAGAAAGGCAAGAAACAGAAAAGTAAACCACAGGCAAAGGGATCCAAAGATCAAGGTTTGAATTTTTCTTCGCAGCTCTGCTTCAAAAGCTTAAATCTCATTTTAACAGTTTATTGAATCTCTGTTTCATTGTATTGTATAGGTACACGAAAAGCCAGCAAGAAAGGTAAAGCAGAACCCACCAGAGAAGAACTGCATGTAGTGGTGGCCAAAATTCTGAAGGAAGTAGACTTCAATACGGTAAGGCTTCAATAGAGTGAGATTTAAGAGATTATAAACAATTTAACTAAGTCGTTAAACGAAAGAAGATAACATTTTTTTTATTTTTATTACCGGACAGGCAACTCTCTCTGATATTCTGCGGAAGCTTGGTATGTTTTCCTTTTCTCAATTCATAAATGCTATATTCTTCTAAATTTGCAGGGATATAAAGTTTTATTTTTTTGGATGTATGTCATAATATTAGGGAGCCATTTTGGAGTTGATCTTATGCATAGAAAAACAGAGGTGAAGGATATCATAACAGATGCCATCAACGAGATGAGCGATGACGATGAAAGAGAGGAAAACACAGAGGATGAAGGTGAGAAAGAGAAAGAAGACCAAGAGAAAAAGGATTAGTTTTGTCTCTTCTTCTCTTTCCCGCAAATCCGATATGAAAAGTAAGAGGAAACAAAAGTTATAAGACGCTTTCACTTAACCTTCATGTGTGAAATCATAGGAGTGATTTACAGAATGGGAGATTTGTCTGTACTTTAGAGTATTTTGTAATCTGTTAGGCTCATTGTAGTTTCAAGCTCTTCCTTCAACTTATGTAGTTGTTAAGTTGTTCTAACTTATTATTATTCTTTTTTTCCCCCTTAATTGTAAGATTGGATATTTTGTGGATTTAAGTTAATTGGGATGTTTTTGTAAGGATTTATTTATAGAAGTATAAGAAGTTGAGCAAATTATAATACCGTGACGTGCGACATAATATCAATCTACGAGAGTCCCATGGCCCATGGGTGTAATTTAAATGAAAAAAATTACTCTGGAGTTACATTAAAAAATGATGAAATTTTTGTTCTATTTATTTATTCATTGAAAAATAAATCTTTCTTTTTTTGTTTTTGTTTTCTAGGTTTGAGAATTTGTGTTCCCTCTTTGAAAACGATTTTTGAAGGAACAAAGAGTAACCCAATATCTGTAGTATTTAAAATTGTTTTGGGTTTAGCCAAATAAAATAAACTTTTTTTTTCCAGTGTAAATTTCATTTTCTTTCCTTTTTTCCTTTATTTCTCTCACATGTCATGTGTAATTTTGTAGAAAGAGTTTAACATGATGTCTATTCGGTTTCGTTCGACTAAGGTTTTCTAAATTTGGTTAGTAAGTTCCAAAAACAGTACAACACTATGCATACTTATAAAATCTTACCAAACCATTTTGCGGCTTACTGGTTATGATGTAGTTGCAGACTTGCAGTACGTATTCAATCTATGTATAAGTTTGTGCTTTAGTATTAGTGTTACCTATAGTTACAGATTTATTTAGTTGTGTGTTGTGGCTGTTGGACGTTCATATCATTACAGCTCATTAAGGAGAGTATACACATAAAATAATAATACGCATATCCACCGAAATTAATTTTAGAAATAATTCTTTTTTTTTGTAGATATACGTATTATTACTAAATTCTTCGAAGATTTTAGTTTCGGTGGCTACTAATTTTTACTGAGGAATATAATTTGTTAATAATAGAAAAAATTTAATGTGTTTGCATGAAAATTTAGACGTAAAGATATATTAAATTCATGTTAAGGTTATAAAAGAGGATATTGAAAGCCCAATTAAATTTTTTAAATTTACGAGTATTCTTAATTTGTTATTTAAGATATAAAGAATGATCAAACATAAATAACATCACAGTAGAAAGACTTGTATACCTTGATCATCTATTCATAAAATAAGATTTTAACCATATTATAGATCATCATGAATTGGTTATATAACATTTTTTTTTTCAAAATAACAATATAAATGCTAAATGTGAACATATTTATTTTCTTTTGACATTCGCATTGCGGATCTAGTTCTTAAAAATTTTGATGAAAAAAGTAAGTTATAATTAGAATATGGGTTCATTTTAAAATAAAGAAACGATTAACTTTGACAAAAGATAATTAGATGAAAAAAGATATCTACTACTAATCAATACACATTTTATAAAAGTTGCGCTCGACTGTTTTATATACCCGTGTTCTCCATTAATGTTTCTACATCTAAGCTTACCCGTGTTTTCCATTAATGTTTCTACATCTAGCTTTTGAATTACAAGTAATCAGTGATGCAATTTACAAATCTTGAGTACACTCTAACATTGATTCGGAACCTAATTAAAACGGCTCATTATTTGAAAGAAAGATCCAACTTTGAATTTTGGGATAAAATCATAGACCCGTAACATCAACTATGACCCTATTGTTATAATTCACTCTTATCGATCAACTAACCAATTAGACTTATAACTACACGTATTTATTCAATCAACCGCCCAATGTCTAAAAAATGTATTTATGTCGCCAGAGCTTTAGTGGTCCATATTTAGCTATCCAATCTTCACTTGCTAAACAAGATATCTAAACCCTAAACTATACTTAAACCCTCTATAAGAACCCTATATCAAGATCACTCTTGGTTCTTTACTGTTCCATTTAAAATTTCCATTCTCTTTATCATCTCATTAGCTCTACAGTTGCTACACAAGATACCCCTAGCCCTAATCTCTACTTAAACTACCCTAAAAACCCTATAAATATTAAGACATATTCTCTATTCATCACTTTCTCCATTGGATTCAAAGACCTCTGACTAAACATTTTTTAAGGTTTATTCATCTAAAAACCCTTGAAATGGCGGACTCAATCACGTTAGCCGTGACCACGAGAAACCATGTACTCGTCCCACCGGCGTCAGAAACTCCAAAGGGTCTCTACTATCTCTCGAACCTCGATCAAAACATCGCCGTCATGGTCAAAACGTTATATTACTTCAAATCGGAGTCAAGAACCAACCAAGAATCCTACAATGTGATAAAGAAATCTCTCTCTGAGGTTCTTGTTCATTACTATCCTGTCGCCGGAAGGTTAACGATCAGCCCGGAAGGGAAGATCGCCGTAAATTGCACCGGAGAAGGAGTAGTGTTGGTGGAAGCTGAGACTAATTGTGGGATAGAGATGATCAAAGAAGCTCTCTCTAAGAATAAAATGGATATGCTCGAGAAACTTGTTTACGACGTTCCTGGTGCCCGGAATATTCTTGAGATCCCCCCGGTGGTAGTTCAGGTAAGGTTTTGAATGATGTCTTGCTTAATTATTGCTTTTCTAAGTTTTGAGTTTTGTCCGGAGGATGTTTGGTTGGTTCAAGGTACCTATCATCGTAATTACAATGCGAGGGACATGTTTATAGCCTTTAGGCATCCATCAGATGAGTAGCTAGCAATCATCGTATTTAATGTTTTCTTTTTGGAACCTGAATCGTATTAATGTTGGGGATCTAAATTCCTCATTTTTAGCCATTTTCTACTATCAATCAGTGATCGTATTTAATGTTTTGAATACGGCTTAACTTAAACCATTCGAGTTTCAGTCATCGTTTTAAATGTTTTGTCCAACATGTATAAATAATGCGATTGCGACCCAAAAAAAAAAAAAAAAACGCTTTCGAGATTTCAATGCATGGGATGGTCACAGTGTAAACAAAATGAAAACAGCTATCAAATGACGATTGAAATCTAACTTTTCTTTTAACACATGCCTCTACCTATATATCACCTATGTATGCCTCGTTTGTTATGAAAATAGCATATAGTAGTAAGTTAGTAACAATTGATCCGATACTTGTACGTTTATATATTACCCATTAAAAATAAGTAAGCTAGGACTAGAGTGCTTACGTACTAACTCTCATTGTGTTCTAAGTTAATATCAAGCGTAATAATTTAACTAAACAAAGGATATAATGAGCCAGATCTGAAAATTTAGGGGTTATAAACAATTTAAAATAAATATGAATAATTTTTTTTGTAATTTGAGGGTCAAAATATTCATGTATACTGTCAAAATTTTGGGGGCTAGAAGTCAATATTTCATTAGGCTATCCCAGATCCGGCTTAGGGTAATAGATAATTAAAGTTAAAATGCATATTATCTCATTCCCACCCTTTTTTAAATTTACCATCGATTCATTCTGTAATGTTGGATGAAATAAATAAATGAAAATGGTAACACATAGTTTTGGTTTCGTTTCTTTCCTCAGGTAACAAATTTCAAATGCGGCGGTTTTGTCCTAGGACTAGGCATGAGCCACAACATGTTCGATGGAGTCGCGGCCATGGAATTTCTCAACTCATGGTGCGAGACGGCCAAAGGCATCCCTTTATCCGTCCCACCTTTCTTGGACCGCACGATTCTTAAGCCAAGAAACCCGCCAAAAATAGAGTTCCCACACAATGAATTCGATGAAATCGAAGACATTTCCGATACCGGAAAACTCTACGACGAAGAAAAACTCATCTACAGATGTTTCCTCTTCGAACCCGAAAAGCTAGAGAAGCTCAAAACCATGGCAATGGAAGAAGGTAGTGGTAATAATAAGGTTACAACATTTCAAGCCTTAACCGGTTTTCTTTGGAGATCAAGGTGCGAGGCACTACGGTTTAAACCGGACCAACGGGTTAAGCTTCTTTTCGCGGCCGATGGACGGTCGAGATTCGTCCCGCCTCTCCCGGTAGGATATTGCGGAAACGGCATTGTGTTGACCGGTTTAGTGACGTCATCGGGGGAATTGGTTGGGAAACCTCTTGCTCGTTCGGTGGGTTTGGTTAAGAGAGCGGTCGAGTTGGTTACGGACGGTTACATGAGGTCGGCTATGGATTACGTTGAGGTGAACCGGACCCGGCCGAGTCTGACCGCGACGCTTCTGATTACGTCATGGTCTAAATTGACATTTGATAAACTGGATTTTGGTTGGGGAGAACCGGTTTTCTCTGCACCGGTTGGTTTACCCGGGAGGGAAGTGATCTTATTCTTGCCAGGTGGCGACGATATGAAGAGTATCAATGTGTTCCTCGGGCTTCCTGCTTCGGCTATGGAAGTGTTTGAAGAGCTTATGAAGATTTGAAAAGAAATTTCATAACCAAATTATGATATACATTACATTATTTCTTCTACAGATTAATTATTTATAAATTAAACAGCAGTTTCTTATACCTAATCATTATTTTATACATGTAAGTCTGAATTGTTGCTACTTTGCTTGTATCGGTTTCGAAAATCTATTATATAATAGGAGAATTTTCTCTCCATCTAAGATATCTACATCAGCAAACTCATAAATTTTAACATTAAAACATATTTAAAAGGTGCATTCATGTATATTTATATTTATTATTAATATATTTAGTATTATTAATAATTAAAGAAAATTATAATACTAACTCGATTAAAATTATATAGATTTTATTACAAAATATATATTATTTAACTGAAAAAAAAAAGATATAGAAAATGATGATAATTAAAGAAATTAAAAGTTGATGAAAAAGAATAAAAAATAGAAGAAATAAGAGAAATCAAAATATATTAAATAATATGTAAATGAAGACGAAACAATATCAGAAAAAGAAGAAGATGTAGAAGTCGAAAACCATAAAGAAAAATTTGAAAAAAAAAACCCAAGAAGAAGAAGAATATGAAACTAATGAAGATAAATTTTAGAAAATACGAAAACAAAGACGCTAAAAAAAAGAAAAGAGAACATAAGATGAAAATAACAAATTATGAGAATATGAAGATAGAGAATGAGAAAAATATAATAAAAAAGGAAAAAAAGATATATATATATATAATGAATTAACTATTCAACAGTTCTAAATAATAACAGATTAAAAATAAAATTTTGCACAATGCACGAAGTCTAAATTAAAAAGATAAAAATAATGTTTATAAAAAGGTAATTATAATCACACAATAGTGATAGACAAAATATAAAACCACACAAAAATTAATAACATAATTAAAAGAAATTTGATCTTATATAAAAACAATAATAAGAATACCTAACAGAACACAAACATTATTAACACAATGCAAACATAAAAAAACATCTATTAAATTAAGAAAAAAAATTATCAAATAAATTGTATTTTAAAATATAGCACATAAAACAAATAAAAACACAAATATGAATTAAAACCCGCGCGGAGCGTGGACTCAACTCTAGTATACACAATAGTTAAAACTTAAACTAATGTTTGTTCACAAAAAAAAAACATATAATGAAACGCCGTGGTAAATTTAAATTTGTGAAAATCGTAACATTGAATTTTAAAGGGAATAGTTAATAATGGATAGGAATTTGTAGTATTTAATCGTAAGACTATCATGGTAGGAGCCTATTATGGTTGGAGCCTTGGAGGACTTTTTTTCTTCTAAAAATCAAGAAATAATGTTTATAATTGTATTATAAAGGTGTGTTATCAGATTGTGTGATGGCTATGTTTGTTTCGTATAGTTGGTTCAACGATAGAAAATATTATAAATTACAAACTAATAAAAACTTAAACCAATACGTTTCCAATTTTAAATTAACGATTTGTTAAAATGTATCGCTCAACTAGTTACCATATGTATAGAATTTCGTTTCCATGGTATCACTGAATATGATGTTGAACCAACGACAATAAATACAAACTTGGTTTTATGAATCGTTGCAGTTTTTCATAGCTGAGGGTGATGAAACAATAATGTTGATAGATTAACCCGTACAATAAATTGAGTAACAAGATGATTGGTACTCATCTACCAAAAATTACTTGATTTGATAACATTCTAAGATCATGGTACCATGCTGTCTTCACAATGAAATTTACATAAATACCAATGTTTGAAAATAAATACCAATTTACATAAATACCAATACTAGGTCGCGAACTTGTAGAAGAAGGAAATTTTTTTTATTAAAAAAAGTACTTTGCTTGCCTAAAGAAAATTGGACTCTTTTTAAAACGTGATTAACTTTATAATGTTGGAATTGTCAAGTTGACCATAGGTGTTGACTATTTGTGTAATAACTTTATTTTCTTTGTAGTATGTACTACACCGTTTTAAGGATTTAAAAGAACACGGCAAGGTCAGAATGGTGAAACTCGTGTAGTTTTGAGTTTCGAACGATGAACGTTGTGCTGTTTCTCAGTTGCTCAGTGGTAATACCACAATCGACGGTGAGAAAACAAAAACATTCTTCATACACAGAGAAGAAGAAACCTCAAAGAAAGCCATCGTCTTCTCTCTCGTCTATTTCTGCGGGTTAAGTTTTACACAGGAGAGGAGAGATGGATCAGATAATGAACAAGGTCGGCTCTTACTGGTTAGGACAAAAGGCAAACAAAGAGTTCAACTCCGTCGGTGACGATTTCAATGTATCCTTCCTATTCCTTTCTCTGTTTATTGCTTTCAGAGTTTTACTTTACCATTTGATCGTGTTCCAATTCTAGAGGAAACTCATCGGCCTTAACCCATGATGATTTAGGCTTTTTTAATCTTTGAGATAGACCTTGCAGGTTTTTGTGGTCAAAGTGTTTGATTTTTCTTCCTTCTTACGCTTGTTTGGTCAAGAATTATGCTTTCAGACATGGGCTTCACTGTAACAAGTTTTTGTTAGCTGCTGGGGTTAACTGATAACACCAGATTTTGACCATTTTTATGGATCATTTTAATATCTTTTACAGGTGTTTTTACTCCGTTTTCAAAGGTTTTCAAAGGATTTCTATGTTTCCGGATTTTAAAAGACTTTTCAGGTAATTTGAGATAAAGAGGCACAAAATAGAATAAAAAGACTCTTTTGGATAAATGCAGACCGTCAGAACTCTCATGGAGAGACGAAGACCTTCTCACCGTCTGATCACCCTCAAAATCGGACAACTTATAGAAGAATCAACCAGCTTTCAAATGCACTTGGTTTGGAGACATTCCAACGGTTGGATCTCAAGATATTCCATTAGCCCCGAAGCCACGCGGAGTCGACCAGCAACTCACGCGACCGCGGCCAACAAGCTATTTGCCGCGGTCAGAAGCTTCCCGACCGCGGCCAACAAGCCAATTGCCGCGGTCACAACACTCCCGACCGCGGCATTCAACCTCCGGCTTAAAGCCCACTTATCTGAAGCCGAAAGTCATTCCCAGCCTCAATTCCGGAACCCTAGAGACCATGGAGTATTGGAGACTATAAATACATGTCATTTAGGTCGTTTTTAGGAGAGCTTTTACATACTTTACAGAAACCCTTTTCTTTTAGCCGTTTTTATGAGATTTTTGTAGAAGATTGTTCAAGTCCGAGTTCTTCAATAGAGAAGCTTTCTTTATCTCTTTTCTTTACTGTTTTTCATTACTTTTATTAAAACCAATGATGATGTCGAACTCAGCCATGTCTGAGTAGATCCCGAGTTGGGCTTAGGTTTCCCGAAAGGGGCTCTCATAATCGATTAAGACATCTAGGTTTATAGATCTGGGATTTCGACCTGTTCTCTGTTTATTCTTGTTCTTATTGCATGTATGCTTGATTGATCACCTAGTATCTGATCTAGATAGTTAGTGTTGCGAAATTTTTCATTAAGTATCAGCCCTAGAATGAAACAGGCGATTTTTCCGTAGGAGTGGAAACCTACCTGCAGCGAGATCGTGAGTATTGACGAGTCTTGTGCAGCTCTTGCGTTCTCTCCCTTCCAGGGCCAGAGTGGAAACCTACTGGTCAGGGTTGCGAGAAACAGTTGGTTATGATCACGACAGTGACGTAGTCATACCGCCGTACTCTAGCTCTAGAACCCATATATTGTTATCCGTCAATCCCAATCTATCTACCTTAGTGTTAAAACCGATTATGATCCCTTAGAGTTCCCAAAAGCTCAGCGTTTTTAGCCATAGTTTACAATTCCATCGATTTTTACTTGCTTTTCTTAGACCTGCATTTCAATTTCCTTAGTTCGTTATTTACTTGCTTTATTTACCTTTCATTCGATATTTACTTGCTTTATTAGTCTTTCATTCGATATTTTACTTGTTCTATTGCCTTTCATTCGATTTCTTTACTTGCTTTTTAGGATAGATTTATTTACTTTCTTTTGCCTTAGTTTAATTCGAGAAAAACAACCAACCTTTAAAACCAATTTAGTCTAGACATAAAGTTAAAAACCGTAGAAGAATACCAGGCACACAAATCTATGTGGATTCGATCCCTAAATACTACAACTGATTAGCTGTGCACTTGCGGCTTTCATTTGTTTTGTTAAGGGTAAAACTTGTTCCCTCACGTAGTTGACACGAGCATGCAATCAAGTTTTTGGCGCCGTTGCCGGGGATTTGTTTCGCTGCCTTTTGCTATTTTTCTTGTTTTAACTTCTGTTCTAGACACCTGATCTCTAGTTCTTTCTTAAAGTTTTTCTGAACTATCTTTCCCTTCATTTGTCTTTCTCTGAATTGCATGAATACCAGGCGTAGACCTGCAGGAGACATTCCAATTCTAGACGAGATAGACAGACACGAAATAGAACTTCGAAGACTTAGACGAACGCAAGGAATGGCCAACGACGACCAGCCTGGAGATCCTATCAATCGAAATTTAAATATGGACCAAGAAGGGTCCGAACATGGAGAAAACAAAGAGAATGATCGCATAGAAGGTGATCATGCTCGACAAGATGGAGAGGAGGATGAGATTCTTCCAAGAAACCACCAAAACCGAGAGAGAGAAGGACGTGAAGACCTTGATCCACCCATCAATGTAGCCGATGGTGACCATCCAGCAATGCAGCTGAATGAACGCATTCACCGCCCCATTCCACCAGCAAATCAACACCAAAGACAAGCCAGAAACCATCGCATAGCTGACTTTGATGCACCTACTCAAAATTTTCAGAATCGATCTGCGATTCAAGTACCATTTCCAAACCGGAATGAGTTTGAAGTCAAGCCTCAAATCATCTCATTGGTGAAGCAAAACCAGTTCCATGGAGTTCCTTCTGAGCACCCAATGGACCATATCGAGCTTTTTGAAGAAATTTGCAGCCTAATGAGAACAAACCAAGTTCCACCTGACTATTTAAAGTGTAAGTTGTTCCCTTTTTCATTAGCAGATAAAGCTCACCGTTGGTTGAAGTCTTTGCCTGCAGGATCGATTACTAATTGGGAAGAATGTAGAACTACTTTCTTGAACCACTTCTACACTAAGTCAAGGTCGAACAATCTGAGAACGAAGATTTCAACTTTTCAACAAGGGCCAACTGAATCTTTCTATGAAGCTTGGGAACTTTTTAAGGAGTATGAACGTGATTGCCCTCATCATGGATTTCATGGATCAAGCCTGCTGAGCACATTTTATCGAGGTTTGCAACCAAAATACAAACTTTCACTTGATACAGCTAGCAATGGAGATTTTGGGCAAAAGACGATAACTCAAGGAAGAGCCCTCATCGAAAATTTGGCTCAAGCCAATAGCAATGATTGTCCTGAATATGATCGATCGATGAAGCAAGCCGGAACAGACAACAAGGAGATAACCGAGTTGAAGAACATGGTGAGCCAGCTTCTGAGGAGCAACAATCGCCCGATCCATGCTTGTGAAACCAACAATGGCGCAGAAGAGGAAGGACCTAGTGATATCGATCACATTAATCAAGCATTTCAAGAAGAAGATGTGAACTACGTAGGAGCACTGGTGCCCTACCAAAATCGCTCCAACAACAACTTCAACAACAACTTCCGGAATGCAAATTACAACAATCTCTCTTACCGCAATCCAAATGTGGAGAATCCTCAAGATCAGTACTACCCACCTCAGCAGAAATCCTTCCAAAACAAGTTTCAAGGTGGAAACTTTGGAGGAATAGTACCATACCAACCGCGACAGCCATATAACTACCAAGGTACGGGTTTTAACAATCAATTCGTACAACAGCAGGGAGTCACGACGAACCAGCTAGCTTCACAAATCGGTAGACTTGAACAGTCAATCCAACAACTCGTTATGACGAACGAAAAAGCATCTAAAGACGTGAACGTGAAAGTGGACTGCATGTACAATGATCTGAATGGTAAGTTTGAATCTTTATCTTCGCACGTAAAAAGGTTAGATGTGCAGGTTGCCCAAACAGCCGACTCTATGAAGAGGCAAAGTGGAGTTCTTCCAGGAAGAGTTGAAGATAACCCTAAGAAGTTTTGCAACGCCATAACCTCATTGCCCGAAGAAGAGTCCGGAACCGATGGAAAGAAAGAAGAAACCCCGATCTTTGTACCACTGTACAAGGATATCGATCCCAAGCAGCCACCGTTTAAGGTACCCGAACAATCACCGTTTCAAAGGCTTACCAAAGGCGATGATCCGGGACGTTTTGTTTTCCAATGTTTCATTTCAGGAATCAAGTTTACAGACTGCTTGTGCGATTCCGGAGCCAATGTCAACATCATGTCTAAGGCATTTGTCGAAAAATTGGGCATAAAAACCTTAAGGACATCGACGGTTAAGGTAATTTTTGGAGATTCATCTCAAAAAGATATTGAAGGGGCGATTCATGATCTACAAGTTCTAGTGGGAGATAAGATTGTTCCAGCAGATTTCCAAGTCTTAGAGATGGATAAAGACAAGGAGAGGCCACTCATTTTCGGGAGACCATTCCTAGCTACAGTATGAGCAATTATCGATCACGCAAACCGGCATGCTGTTTTCCTCAATGTGGACAGAAAAAGGTACTATCCTACTATCTTAGATGAATTTCCAAGCAAAGGAAATAGGCCAAAAGAGAAAGAAAAGGAGAAGCCGAAAGCTTTTGCAAAGATCAAGATCATCATTCCACCGGACGCAACAGAAACTAGTGAAGATCAAATACAGGAGCTGATCGAAAACACAAAAAGGGTTCTGAACAACATTAAAGTACGAAAGAAGATTAAAGGTAAGAAAACTTCTCTTCAAGGAGAAGAAGTAAAACCTCCACCAACCGGAAGTGATAAAGGCACATCAAGTGGAGTGCCATTCAAATCAGCCTGATTCCTCGTGCTTACGTCGAGCTAAACGACTTAAAACAAAAACGCTTAATGGGAGGCAACCCATTTAGGTACTCTTTCTTTTAATTTTCTTTTCCCTTTTAGAGTTTATGCTTTCTTTTTCTTTTTAAGTATTAGGTATTTTATAAAACAAAAAAAAACACAAAAAATCAGAAAATTAGAAAAACCAATAAGAAAAAGATAGGTCTTTAGCTGCTCGGCCTGGCAAAGACGAGAAGATTGGACAATAGGCCGCAAGAGGAAGACCCGCGGTCGCAACAGACCTGACCGCGACCAAGAATGCATCGACCACGGCGCTGGAAATGTGACCGCGGCTGAGCCTTCATCCACCGCGGTCGCGCGTCTCCTGACCGCGACCGTTAGTCGT